CCCGTATGAACGGCTTCATACAATCCCATACGTTCTATTTTGACACATAGTTACCGCCTAGCGTTTTCGCGTCCGTGCGAACGCTCGCTAACATCAGTGTTAAACTATACCATGTTTTAAATCATCAAATAAAGTTGATACCATACAACAACTCCACATTTTTCATTAATTTTTTTAAAGTTAAGTGGAATTGTGAAATATTTATACCAATTGTACAAGATCACATGTGAAATAATTGGTTTCCACAAATATTTTGCAATTTATGAAGTTAAAGCATTCAAGGTCTTATCCTTTGTTTACAAATATAATTCTTACTATGGGATAGTCTTTTTATTTTAATAATAGGTATTGAGCTTTAACAATTTTTAATAATTAACCAAAATAAGTACATATTTTCAACATAAGACTCTTTGATAGGACACATTGTAGGTGATTTACAATATTTATTTGTCTGTGGAATGCAAATGTTAATAAAACTCACAAAGCATCTTAAAAAAACTCAATTACAGGTAGGCAACGCATCTGCAATTGTGGATGTTAATGGGCAGTGTTCGCTTTCCATTTTTGTGGATTGAGGTGTCCGCATGCTTGTTTGCCACCTTATATTATATAAAAAAACACTAATAGTACATTTTATATGTTGGATTTTTGCTGCCATTTAAAAACATGTCACATCTCTAATATTTTAGAAAAATTGAACAGAAATATCTATATTTTTTGTACATGCACATTAGCAAATCAAACACAAGGTTAGACAGATTGACATAAAATGAATCCATAATTATGATTAAAGGATGCAATAATAACTTGCATTGTAAGCATAATGATGGTCATTTCGCTGAGCGTATTGTAGCCATTACTGAATCAAATCCTTGTCAACTTAAGCTAATTTCAATATTGTGCCATAGAAAAACCACTTGTCTTAATTTTACATGTCAAGTTTTAATAGAATACAATGAAATTATACTAAAATGACTAACAAGAATTAGAGTAATGTAACCTGAATTATTTTTTTAATTTTTGTTAAAAAAATAGTAAATAACTGCTATGCGACAGGCTTGGCGTAAATTAGAAAGTGATGATTGTTGCTGTTTACTCATGTGTAATTTGAAAAATTGCATTGCAATACAACTTTAATTAGATTAAGATGTCAGGTTGTCACCAGTTAGACAACAGTAAATTCTATTCCAAATGAACACTTAAATTTTGCATGCCAATTGCTAAATTTAGCGGACTATATACTATTTCATCTTTTAAATGAAGATGTAAATTTCTTTACTTATATGTTCTTCCCTGATTTATATTTTATATATGAGTATATACAGCCAATATAAGTACAGTAAGTAGAATGTAGAAGAAAAAAAAGTAAAACACGTCTAGCCTTAACATCTGCTTAATCCAGGTGATTACTGATGCGAATTTACGATTGTTTTACACGTTATAACTCTTTCTTTTCATTTTAGGCTTGAAACTGTGAAAACTGTTAAAACTGTGACAATTATGGGAGATCGCAACAACCCCATTAAGTTTGGACCTGCATGGATGCGTAACTTTGGCCAAATAAGTCCTTCAGGAGGGGCTGCAAGCAACAATCAAAACCCCACAAACTCGAGAGTAGTAACTACCACTGCACCTAACGGATCCATAGCGCCCACAGGTAGTGCGAGTTACTCAGAGGCAACAAATGCTCAAGGCCAATCTGAAGAAGGCGCAGCACAAGCTTCCGCTATTCCCAGTACAACACCAACAACAAATGCTGGCACTCCTGTCAACAATGAATTAATATTAGCTGAGATGCGGTGAGTGTATTTGGAAATTTCTATTTGGTACTTTTTAGTTTAAGTTTCCATAAATCATTTTACATTCTCATTCTGTTTTCATATTTTGAATTATCCATTAGTTATCTTCATACAATCATGCCCTTTTAAAAATCATAAAATACATGTATAAATCACATCATCAGCCTTAGGAGAAGTAAGGGTTGAATTTGAAGAGTCAGAAATCTTATAGTTAGTTAAGAGTATGGACATACAATCACGAGGTCTAAACCTTCAAATAAACGCGGTATAAAGTTAAACTTAGTAATAAACTTAGTATAAGCAAAATTTGTACTAATATTTTGCCTACACTCAGTATATTCCTAAGTTTAACTTTATACCCCTTTTATTTGTTGGACTGTTAGGCTCAAGGTTTAAATCCAGCCATTCCACTACTGTTGTAAACCATATTTCAGCCTAAGGCCTTACCTTAGTTGCAATGGTACAAGAAAACTTAATATATTAACAAAAGTTTGATTTATGAAATTAAAAATATAATTAACAAAATATCAGAGTCTACAAATTTCAACAATCAAACATTGTAAAACAAATAAATTTGGTTGAATCAAACATTGTATTTCACATTTACGCTTAAACAATCCAAAAAATTACATATGAATAAAATCTATATGGTTAATGGTTATTATTACTGTTCAGCCTAAAACACCAGAGCAAGACTCAGGATCGAAAGTCGTGAGTTATATTCTACCATTTAGAAAACACTATTGGGAAATCAACTAGTTTGTTGTTCGTATCATGATGTACAAAAATCACGTGAATAAATCTGTTTAGATTGTATAGCAACAGTGTTTGGTTTGAAATTTTTTAGCATTTTTTTTTAGCTTTTTATTGTAATTTCACAAATTTAGTCTCTAAATGTTTCATTTTTTGTTTTCAAGATCTCATACTAATAAAACTTCCATGTAGTTAAGTAAAGGTATGAAATGTGTCACATGAAATTTGTGTACTATTCATTTGCATTATCATCTCCCCGCCCTTTTAGATTTAAGGGTTGGCATAGTATGTACTAATTCTTCATATGTCATATATACTTTTAAGACTTATTCCAAAAATTGTGTAAAATTTCGTTATGTCTTGGTTTCCTGAGAGAAATGATGCCTACTCTTCTAGAAGTACAAATACAATGAAACTGCAGTTGCAAGGTTTTGAAATTATACTCAACAAATTTAAATAAGTTGTCAAGTCTAATTATAGTTATAGATGTAAACAAGTAGAAACTAAACATTTTTAAATAGTTTGCTGTTGAGATGTTTCATATAAATCAATTCAAATTAATCCATAATGATATCATTACTAATGTCAAAGAAAATGAGTTGGATACAATGTTACTTACATAATGTACAGTGCTTGACAGTGAAAAGCTACAGAGATATTCCAATAGCATGGTAATTTTCTATTTGGCATAAACAGTTTTCAGGAATTGATTAACATTGTTTGTCCAATGTTAGAAATATATCTGAATATTGGGTCGTAATGTTTAAGTTAATCTTTATTGCAATGAATATATTTATGAATGTACATGTACGGATCCAGAGTGATTCTACTCAACTGAGAAACACAAGTTTTCTTGTACAAGATTTTTAAAAGCAAAATGACTCGGCAAAACGTCTTGAAGTATTCTTAGCAGTAAAGAAGAGAGACCATATGAAGATCTTGGCATAACCAAAACAGATTCCAGTTTTATATACAGACTAGAGCAAGATACAAAATTGACGTCTACTATATTGGTCTTTTTTTCAGGTATGGAAGGGAAGAGATGCTAGCTCTGTATGAAAGAACCACAGAGGCACCTGAACAATTAAAATACTTTGATCAGTTATATCAACAAAGGCGAAAGCCACCTGTTGCTTTAAATAACACCTTTCAAGAAGAAATGGTAAAATTAGCTTATAGTCTTTTTTCAAAAAAAAAAATCGATTTAGACTTTTTTCCCGCAGTGTATTTGTCCGATTATTTTTTTTTAAAAGCCCAAATAAAAAGATTTAGTAAAACTTATTAGCATTAAAACAGCAGAAAATTTAATTTGTATATTTTTAATAAACAAAACTTATCAGTCATCAGTGCATCAATAGCACTTAAACTTATAGTGACAGTTCCATTTTTTAATTTAGCAACGTGAGAATACCAGAGGAGCCAAACCTGCTACTACCAGTCGTAACTTGAACCGTGCTTCTCCCAATGAGAATCGTCGTACTCGCACACCTTTTCCACGGAATGCATCATCTGGGAAGTAAGGAACATATCTTTACACATTTGATGTCAAAATATACATACTCTGTGCATAAAAAAAAACAATTATTGAAGTTAATTTTTTTTATATTTAGTTGATATTATCAATTTAAAGTAATAGTAAATAACAGCAGTTTGTTTTCTCTAAACACACTCTAATCAAATGCTAATGTAAGTAAATGACTCATTACCACCTGTGTGCCTGATATGTGACACAGGATATAAGCTTTTTGTGAGAAATGCATAGCAGGTAGGTAGATAAGATGTGGAATACATGAAAACATACACTGCTTTGCAACTTGATCTGTACACCTTTGTTCCTTTATCAATTCCTGCTATTAGATTGTTCATCAACTTTTGCACAACCGCAACAATGTAACATGGGAATATTGTCAATCCCTTTATGATACACTATGAATCATGCAAGATGGCCGCCATTACAGAATGGTAAATGTCTTTTTGATAGATTTTTGCTCAACCGTCCAATATAGATATCAAATGAAAGGATTTTAGTAATAGTATAACTAGGTAAAATAAAATTCAAAACAATTTAAAAAAATTGCTAAAATTGGTAGAAATTGACTTAATTTTTTTTAACAAAACATGTTTATCTAATATCTATTGCACGAAATTATAATAAATACAACAAAAGCATTTTAAAAATAATAATATTTTGAATAAAATATGATTCTTATTAATAAAATATTAAAGTAATAAATGAAATCAATTAAAGTTGTATTATTTAAAAAAAAATCTTATATTAATATTTACTAACATGTTCTGGAATGTAAAAAGTAATATTACATTTATATTTTAAGAGATTAAAATAAAATATAGGAAGGTTTGTTTTTTATTAGTACTTGTGTGTTTTATTGTTGTATTTGTGTTTGTATTCACTTTGTTTATATGTAATAAAAGTTTGGTGGTTCTGTGGACTTGCTCTGGGTGTAGGATAAGCATGCTAAACAATTTTTAATAGTTATAATATGAATAATAAATGGTGATGGTGCACTTCTATCTTTATAATAATTATTAACACATGTTTGCATTAAGCTTATATTCATATGTAAGAATGAATGATTGTGAATTACTTAATAAACATTAACTATATGGTATTTTAAATTGAATAACTACTTGCCTTCTGCTATTCTTTGTCAAATATGTGCCAGATGGTGTGCTGTTTAAGCTATTTTTATAACAAATGAGAATATTCATATCAAGTGATTTTTGAGTTAAGAATCCGAAAAGCGGTTCAACCTAACCACGAATCGAACTTGGGTCTAGCAATATATTATAATATATTTAGGTTATGGTTGTGCTTTATGTTGGGAAACACTATCTATTTTTTATGTTACTTTATTCATGGTTAAGGCGCAATATTAATATTGAAGTGCATTTATTTTTATTTCTATAACAATTAGGAACACTTACATTTGATGGGGTTGCTTCTTCATTTATTATAAGACATTTTATTTACAGGGGCATATTGTGGAATATGGCTCAAAAAAATACAAGGCCCCCAATTTATCAATCTCCATTTGAGGCTAACACAGCTATACCCTGGGGGGGGAGTAATGTTAACACACCACAACCACTTCCGCCACCAAGACCTCACGTTGAGCAACATGAAAGGTCTGGGACTAAAATATATCGAAGGTACGTCTACATAGCTAATATATAGCTGACGTTCGGGATTCGATTCCACATGCACCTTTGGCATTCCGTTTTTCGAATTTTTACATATAAAAGAATCACTTGTTATATTGTCATTTAAATAAGATATTGAACTCACTAACATTTTTAGTTCTGTTAATTTCAATTTATTTATGAATAAACATTTTGTTGTAGACGTGTCAATAATAATACTAATTGGAGGCAGCATTCGCGAGAGGAAGATGAATGGCGATCCAGGAATCGTCCTAATGCTGGTAAGTGAGACAAATAACGTTAAGAAGAATAATAAACTTGCCTTGTTCTAGGCATTTTAGAAAACCTACAAGAAGCTGTTGGTAAATTGCAATCCAGTTCTATTGTTCATATGAACCATGTAACCCTACTAGAGGACCCAACATTAGCAAATCTAGAATATAGTATTACAACAGTAATAAAAAATACCGTTTCTAGAGCGTGATTGGGGCGAAAGACCTGTTCAAGGGAAACAGTCAACATGGAATGCAAATCGCAGTGGTTGGGTTGGGGCTGAAGCCAACAATGAAGAAAGTCTCCCAGAATGGTTAGTTTATTCGTTTTTATAATTATATTTCAAAGTAAATGGGCGCATATGACTGATATACATATGGTTTTAATATTTTTATTACATACTACTATTTAAAATAAATGTTATGCGAGTTTAGTATATCAAATTCAATACTTTCATTTTTGTAGGGCCGTCGAAAATGCTGTAGGAAGAACCGGAACTTTTGATTCCACGGGAGCTTTTCATGGTTACAGTAACGACGATACGAACTTACCCAAGACTACTGAACCATCTTCATCGTTTCGTGAGTGTCTTAAAGATTTTTTAAAGTAAACTATGTGTTTGTTTTCAGTTCATTAATAATTTTTACTTTAAATTACAGCTGTTTTATTCAAATTGTTTAATTTCAGCCTTGGTACGTTCATTAACTCACGGGAGTTTATCGCACAACACAAAAACCCCTGCAAATGGTTTTGAAGAGTGGTGGGCATCAGATAAAGCTAAAAAACTATCTCCTAATAAGTTTGAAGCGAATGATGTGAAGTTCAAACAGGTATTTTTTATACTTATGTTGAAAAAAGTGATTTTATGTCGTGGAAGAAATTAATATAGTTTTGGTTTCTCAGGCATTAAATATGGGGCCAAGTGACGATAATATTCCTACTAAAATTAGCAAAGAGGAGAACAGACAAGAAGAATGCAATGTTAAAGCAGAAGAAGCAGATAGAAGTGAAACACCGCAGGCATCAACATCTGCTCCGAAAGATGAAGAAACTGCCAATTTCTCTGATGACAAAAAAGAAGCTAGTCTGAAGACAAAATTTGTTGAGAGTAAAACTTTCGATGCTTTGATGCGGTCTGACATTAACTTGGAGAAAGTTACTAATGATAGAGGAAACTTCCAGTCTGTTCTCATCACTACTAACAATACACTACGTCAGAAACATCAGAATATTGTTGCTTCTAATGACAATACGCAAAGACAGCCTGGCATGCCCATCTTGCAAAGGATGCACTCTTTGGCAAATGAAGAGTAAGTGTGGTTGTTAATAAATTTTTCCGTTTTAATTTTTTTAAGATATCTTCGTTTAATTAAATTTTGTATTTCAGTGAAGCCAATTCCACATCTAAAAATCTTGTGGAAGAAATGTTCAACTTATCTGTTGATGATTCAAAACCATCAACATCAAGTACTACATCCACAAATGCAAATACTTCTGGCAACCCAACAGATCTTCAAGTGCCCACGCAAATGCCAAGTAGCAGCGTACCAATATCACCTAGACTATCCATGGGTGGTGTGCAAACTGGCGGCATACAACCTGGTGGCATACCAGCTGGCGGCATGCAAGTTGGGATCTTGCAAGTTGCGGGTATCCAAGGAATACAGGCAGGCGGTATACAAACTGGCGGAATGCAAGGCGGCAACAGTGGCAACATTCAAGGTGGCGGGTTGCAAGGCGGCGGCATGCAAGGTGGAGGCGTACCAGCTGGTAACATGCAAGCCAGCGGTATGCAAGGCGGCGGCATGCAAGCTGGCAATATGCAAGCCGGCGGTATGCAAGCTGGCAATATGCACGTCGGTGGTATGCAAGGCATGCAAGCCGCCGGCATGCATTACCATGCAGGCATCGGGCGTGGAGGGTATGAAGCTTTAGGGATGCAACCGCATGCCATGCAGCCGGGCGCAATGCACTTCGCTGGTATTCATCCTGGTCAATTACACACAAGTGGAATGCAAACAGCACAAGCCATACAACAGAGCTTACTGCAACAAGCCGGATTACAATCAGCTGCTATCCAAGGAGGGATGCAACCAGGAGAACTGCAATCAAGTATGTTGCAATCTGGAAGAGATGCAAATGCAATGCAAGGAGCAATACAGGCAATGCAAGCAGCTAGAATGGGATCCGCCTTGCAAAACGTTGGAGTACAAAATCAAGCCTTGAATACTGCAATGGGACTCCCCACATCAGGAAATGGACAAGTCATACCGATGCCAGGAGTGTCAAGACCGATGATGCAAAATCCTATTATAATGGGCTTGGGCGCAGATATACAGCAAAATCCTTCCATGATGTCAGCTTACCACCAACAAAGTGGCTTATCCATGATGGGTAGTTCGAATGTACACAATTCTTCACTGTTTATGGGGCAGGCTAATAATTCAGTAAGTGTACAATTTGTAATTTCCTTTGAAAAATTTTGTAACTTTTACTTCTAATTAACAATGTAATTTACACACCATTTTAACTATAACATGTGCAATATTAAATTATGCCTAATAAATTTATCTTAGATGCAAGCAAACGAGATGCATAGAATGCGCGCAGACCTATATCAAACCGGACAACAGCAAGGACCATATGGCTCTATGTACGGCCAACCACCTCAAAACATGAATGTTCTTGACCAGTGGTACTATGAAGATCCCCAGGTATGTAATATCTTTAATAATACCTTGTAATTCAATTAAAGTATTAGTAGCTCTAAGTCTATTGCTGAACGAATTTCTTTTTGAAGAGTCAATTTACTTATTAAGATTTGATATTTTCTTAATAATAAGTGTATAACAAGTGGTCTATGAATCAAACAGTATAAACATACAGAAAAACTACTCGGTTATATGTAAGGAAAGTTTGACCGTTGCTTTTTTACATTTATGTGTATGTAATGTTTCATACATGTAAAGATTTGTCTGTAACGCTTATGTCTATGTTTTTCGTATATAAATATTTTCGATTAATTATGCAAAACAATTACTAGAAATGATAATTTCTTTTATTTTCACCAAAAATGTTTAATGTGATCTCCAAGAGGTGGAAACTCATGTGTTGTAAATCTCTCCATCTAAATTGTTTTATTTTTGTTATCGCAAAACAAGGCCCTTGGAAGAGAGGCAAATAAGGCGGTAAGAGAATCACAACTGTATTGTATTGCGTCTTTGATGCCTCATGTATAATTAGTTTAAAACATAAGGCATAATTTAAATTTAAAAAAATATATATTATTTTATATTAAGCATGTGAACCACCTTTATTTTATTGTAAATAGTATATTTTAACCAAAGAGTTTTATTATAACATACGAATAATATATTTGTAATTCTAACGTTCAGTATTTTGTACACAATAATTAACTTATATATACCATTGGCAAAAAAATATATAGTAATCTAGTGTCTTGAGAATATTTTATTAAAATACAATTTAACAGGTCTTGTTCAGGTTTTTTGTTTAAGAAATTTGGTATAAATTTTAATTCCTATCCATATAATTGTTCTGTATTGATATTATAAATTCCATCAAAAAATTACATGTGGTATAGGGATATTCAAAATTCACAGATAATAATAATAAAAACATGAAGACCTGAAATTAAAGAAAATGAAATGGGACCTGTTAAATTATATTGCGTTCCCAAAGATAATGCAAAAGTAATATTTTCAATTGTTACAGTACAATGTTCATGGTCCATTCTCATCAAAGGATATGTACAATTGGTACAAAGCAGGCTTTTTCAACTCTAACTTGATGATACGTCGAGCCTGTGACGTAAACATGCGTCGACTTGGCTCCTATGGCCCTATGGCTTTTGGTGCCCCTATTGTAAGTTACTTTAAGTCTTTCTAAAAAATTACATATTGCTCGCGACATATTGAAATAATAATAAAAATATAGCTCATGTTACATTATACCATAATACAATAATATCTCTTCTCTTTATAATATTAGTATAGACTAGCCTATATGTTTTTCCAGACTATGCTCTACATTTATGACAAATTTCATGAAGATCCATTCAGTCGTTTAGGATACACTTCTAACAAACATCCATCCATCGATGTAAACGTGTGTATGATAGACGATAAAAATACTAAACATCTAAATAAAAACATTCCTTTTTGTCAAAATCACAGGGATGTTAAACCGCATTAGCTTTCCCAGTTATAAACAATGAGTCTGTAAATGACTGATTTCTGAGAATATAAAAAATGACTGTAACAGATATTTACTTTTACCTAAATATGAAACTTTAAGATAGATTTTAGTTAAAAATACATGTATTGTTAACAGGACCTGCTGCCTCCGTACCCGGGGCAAGGTGGCTATGATCGCCGATCTCATGGTCAGCACGAATTACTCAACCAAAAGGGACTTGGGTTAGAGGTAAATTTATTTATTTTTTAGATTTCTATTGATTATTTTATTGTCACACTAGCCTTCAACTTCGATTCCGTCCGCGAGGAATAATAAAAAAACAAACGTGAAGCCTATGTGTTCTTACAGACTATGCTCTACGTCTTTGCCAAATTTTATCGAGTTCTTTTTACCCACTTAAGCTACAAACTCTAATAAACAACCACCCATCTAAACTTTCACATTTATAATATTACTAGCTTTCGGCCGCGACTACGTCCCCGTGAAATTAATAAAAAAATGCATGTGTGTAGCCTATGTGTTCTTCCAGACTATCCTCCACATCTATACCAAATTTCATCGAAATCTGTTCAGCTATTTAGACTACAAACTCCAACAAACATCCATCCATCCATCTAAACTTTCACATTTATAATGTTAGTATGACATGTAAAATATAACTACATATTTTCACTGTGTTTGTTATATTTTTCAATGAGAATGATGGTAACAAAGAATGGCTGAGCTTTTCTTTTGATTATTGACAAAAAATCTAAAGAAGCGGTCATTACTTTCTTTTTTCTACATTAGTCTACAATGTAGACAAGTAATTTTGAAGTATAAAGTGTAAATTAGTTTAAAATATCTAATATATATGTAAACTATTAACAGGAAAGCCTATGGCGTCAGAGTGCTCAGTCCCCGGAGATGCTGTGGATGCCTCAGTCTGTGGACGCTACTAACGAGTCTCGAGTTAATAACTTACCAATGCAGTTTTGGGACACGGAGGTAAGTGACAACGTACATCGTCGTTATACCATTAAGACGCTATTGAAATATTGTAAAATTGTATACGAAGGTCACATGTATTATGAATTTGTAAGTGGCATGCTCCGAAATAGTGATAGCTTACCTTCTCAAGGAGATTCTGAAGGTTCTAATTGTGATAACACACCATAGATACTGCACAAGTCACCACGCAAATGACTGGAATTAAAATCCAGTCTATCATTCCGCCAGGCTATCACTATTTTGATGCTTCTAACGTCTATTCTGCTTGGAAATTTCTAACTTAATAATATTCGTGAACAATACCAGTATGAATGCAATGTTTGAGCCGACCTCTAATTGTGCACGGATATGCATTGGGTTATGCAAATTACACTGCTGTGTATTTTTTTTTTCATCATTTTCATGGAAAGAAATTACTATTTCCGATTTTTTAAGATAAGAAAATCATTCCGATTAATAAGCTTTTTGTTCTTAACGAGAAAAATACACGCATTTAGTAAAATATTTGGGTTCGAATGTGCATAACGCTTTGCATCACCTAAAGCGATGGTATTCTTTTGAATGACAATCACCTGTTTGAAATGGTGTAATGTTGTTTTACTAATTAAATTTGCCTTTCCACAATATGAAGGAATCATGAACGACATTTGTCTGTTGGTTTCAAATCAACTTAATGATTTGAAATTATTTAGCGCCATTTGGAACATTTTCTTATTACAATTGGTTGATTAAGCTTCTTACGCCTTAATATAAGTTTTTTGTGTATTCATAGATTTTTTAATTTGTCATAAACTTTCTAAGTTATATTAATATAATTGATTAAAATTCATCAATTATTGTTTTTCTATCTCGTCTAATAAAGCCACACATTGATTTTTTCAATAATCATTGTCTTTAAATCTTCAATATAACGATAATATTTCAAAATAGCATTGTATGTGTATGATTAATTAAAATGTACAATTAAAAATAATATACAGCTTTGATTTTAGTTGCAAAATTAAATTTGCAGCAATTTGAAAATAATAGGTATGCTTCTGATTGTCAGTTTGCAGTTTAATCTCCCAATGCTAATGTTAGCCTGAGATAAGTTTTTATAATGATACTCATGAGTTTCTTATTCGATTTATTGTGGTATATATGTATATTATTTAGTTTCATGATTCCTTAAACAGCTTCCATAAATGAATGCATATTTCACAAATTTGTTATGTAATATTACAATAGTTCCACTTTGCTACTAAACACTAAAACTTTTATTGACTTTAAGTCAAAACCTCCATTAGTTAAAAGTAAACCCCACTGAAAACCAAGTCAATGCTGTACATATGTCCATACATAACTCGTAAAAAGTCAATTACATTCACTATGTATGCATACAATGTTGGTTGGCTATTGAATTTTATAACTTCATGTTTGTCATTGTGAAACTAATTATAGCCTGATCAGGAAAATAGAGTACCTGTCATAAAGGCGCCATTTAATTTGCAGCCCTCCTATAAAATCCAATAAATTCTTTCTCCCATAAAGGCTTAAATACGTCTCTTCTTGGCTATGAGTATTTTTTTTGTATTTTAATACATTAAATTATCACAAACTCAAAATTTGCGCGTTATTAATCGACAATGCGATTCAGCGAATTTTCTTTTTTATTTAAAATATTATACTCTAACAAGTAGTTAGCTTGGTGTGGTGGTTAGTGCGGTAGGTACAACGGAGTTTACCGCAACGTGGCGATGTTTTCTATTTTCCTGGCCAGCCTACATACTGAAGAAAAAGTTTTGTTTGTTTGTTTTTTTTTTTTATTTTAATTTGAAATATGAGTTTAATATTGTTTTGATTTCTTATGTGTTGTCGATAATACCATTAAAGATGTTAATCAACTCTGTTAATTAAATCTTAACCTCTACAAGTCGAATACAAATAAAATTCGACATTTTTTTAATAACTACTATAGTTTGATAACTCGACAATTCGTTTTTATTCTATTTCGACTTAAAGAGGTTCAACAGTGTTACAAAATCACGTAGTTGTGATACAATTATTGTAATTACATATTTATCTGATTATGCGATTAAGGTGTTGGTCGGTTAACGGTGTTGGTTTAATCATTTAAAATTAAGTTCTGTCAACGATATATGTATAAATGTATGTGTTGTGCAGAGAAAGTGCTCGTTATCTTTGTTAATCGGAGAAGAGAACCGTGAAAAGAAGTTTATACATTTATGTCTTTGTCATTTGTAGCTATAATTGAGTAAACAAATACATTCACAAAGGCTTTTGTAATTATGCTATTAACATTCTTGCTTACTTTTTGTCAAATGGGAGCTCTTTGCTAAAACGTGATTGTTTGTATAAGTATTTTAGGTTTCTATTTGGAAAAATACACCGGATTAAGTAGGTAACGTGAATGTAGTTTTTTTTTAGTTTATAATAACTCGTAAAAGTTATAAATAATTTATCAGTATCAGTTATTTTTGTAATTTAAGGTTTCTTTGATTGACTTGACGGGCACTATACACATGTGTCAGTAATACATTATCATCTAATGATCATTTTTGTACTGAAGTGTACTGAATGCATGTAGACGATTTTTTTTTACGTTGTTAGGACTAGTAGTATCACGTAATTCTGTTTGCCTTTCGTAGTACAATTGTTCTGTTGCACCACCACGACAATAGTTTGTTTTACAATTTAATTCTGATATAAATTTCACATTTCTTATTTCACCTTTAAATTCTTTACCACTTTTTTTCTGAAGCAAAAACATTGGATCCGGACGAACAATTAAAATTTTAGTCAGTTCAAAATGCTCGTAACAATACATTTAAGAAACAACAGGCAGTTGCAAATAACTAAACCATTTTTTTTTATGAATTCCAAATTGAGTTTGAGTGTGTTCATTTTAATTTTGAGGTTAAATATATAAGAAAAAATCGTTACAATTTTTTCTAGCATTTATTTTTGTTAATTTCATTAAATATTTTTAAGTTATGATAACGTTTTCGAAGTTAATACTAGATTCTACTTAATGTTGATATTGTCTTTCATGATTCCTAAGAATAATAGATTTCTTTCCATGTTTATGTCAAAATTATGTGTTAGTTATCGTTTAATAGGTTAACGATCCATATGGTTTGCAGGGGGATCTGTTTTGAACAATATAATCAAAAGAGCAGCTGATAATGTAAAAGTCATACAAGTTCTAGACAACAGCTGAAGACTTTCTTATTATAGTATTAGTAGTTTAGTATATTTTTAAGTACATAGTTATTTTAGTCGTTTTCTTGTAAAAGATATGTATAACTTTTAATATCTTCGTAGGTCCTGATTATCGTATACATTCAAATTCAAACTTGTATAAAGATTTTTGTGTTTTAAAGTCGAGAACGAATCTTTTAAATTCGCCTACGGGTTTTTATGTCATGACGTTATATCTCCTTTTGATCTATCTCAATGTTTAATGTAAAAAAACCTTATGCTTCTGAGCGGAAAAGTAGAAACCCAGCTTATACAAATAGAATTAAAAATACAAATTTCATTCTCATTAAATTTATTGCGACTGATGGCATTTCTGTTAAAAAATTTAATTACACTAAATTTGCACTGCTATGTTAGTAACAAAAAAGAATCTCAAAAGTTTTAGTATAGTTTGAAAAAATTAAAAACAAAAATATTTATTTTCAAAATTATAAACAAGCATTTTAAAACATGGGTGAAACTCATTGTTAGGGCATTTTGTAATTGTAAGACGTATGTTTCGTTATTTGTCGAAGCATGCTATGATTGTTATTGTTTAAAAAATATTTTTGAATGAAATATTGTTGGTATATAAAATTAAGATAATTATATCCATATTCATAGGATAGTGGATGATGGTTTAAAATCATTTAATTGTGAACCTTCGAATATAATATCCGGAATTCACGTAGTCGGGTCAAAAAATTTCATTAAAATATACATATGTTACTATTATTTTTTAAAAATTATTATAATAACGCCTACTAATATTATATTCCTGTGATAAAGAATACAATTCGTCGAAGTATTGTTAGTTTGCGTAGTTCTGTTGTTTTTATTGGTCTTTGTGATGTTTTAGGCTTGGTTCGATAAAATTCGCTATGAATTTATTACTACAAATAAATAATTATGGCATGTAGTTTGATCCTTATTTCCCATGAAGTTTGTTGTAAGTTCTACTTCAGAAAAATGTCGTTAATGCGGTAAGATATGGAAATTATCAGTGTCCCATTATGTAGTATACGAAAATTATGTTATTATGTCTATTCATTGTGTCCTGTATTGTATATGTAATAAACAGTTTTAATAATAAAGTAAACTTTCAATTTTTCAACACGGACATTTGATATTTACATAAGATTTTGGATACTAAGTAATTATTTTATTTTTAAATAGTTTTGTGACAGAACGAGATATCATTACATTATGACAGATATATATTCCTTTGAACGGAAACATTTCAGCGGTATTCATTAACAAATACGTAAGTAAAACACCGAACACTAATTATTTTTGGGAATACAAAACACTTACATTATGTTACTGACTGTGACAATTCCAAATATTTTGTTTTTATTTTTAAAAGTGGTAAAGAATTTATGGTACATACAGCTTTTTTAATTATAAAAAAACATGCTTTTTTCGGTTTGTTGCAATGGTGTGCTAATGTCTCATTCATTTTTGAAAACGTAATCTATTTATTTTTTGTTATTTTTGCATATATCTATTATTTTGTTAATACTATTTTTTTGCCTTAATATCCGTTTGTTTTTAAAAAAGAATGAAATTATTATAAGTGTTTGTACAATGGTTACCTCAATGGAAACTTAATCCGCGTATGAACATTAAAAAAAAAGTGAAAATAACACTGTAAATATGTTTATAAAATGTTAGCTAGTATTATGAAACCAACACCACTTAAATCAAATCTGAAACATGATTTTATTTGAGACATTGCTTGTATATTTTTTTCTGCTGCTTTTACTTTGAATGTTATTTTGTGACGCTACATTTTAATATCTGTACTAACAATCACCTCGTGCTTTTTCTGTGCTAGTAAATCGTTTAATATATAAGCTTATGCTGTATTTATGCCTAGCAAACATTACTGTGAATATCTTCTATTGAAACACAATACAATTTAGAGTTTCTTTTTTTTTTAAATGAGAGGAATAACAATATGTTTTTGTAGAAGTGTTTCTCCTGAGGAAATATACGGTTAATGTGAAATCATTTCAAGATTGAGGATATTGATGTATGCCTAAGATGTCCAATATTCATCTTTCGCGCTACATTCAGATAAATGTCTGTTAAAAATGACAATTTATATTAAAAAATAATTATTGATTTGTTTTTGTGTTAAACATTTTTGCATGTGCATTTTAATTGGATTGTTTAATTAAACTTTCATCTTCTCACTAATTTTTTTTACACTTTGAAACCGTTTTTTCACAACTTGTACTCGTAAAATTCATATTATCTTACATTGACAACCCTAACTGAGGAATACCTTTTTCCCGTCCTTAATTCCTTTGGATTTTGGTTTGTGGAGGGTTCTTCAATTTTATTGAAGGAGGTGGATGTGTAATGAGACCTTGTTTTTTTTTTCTTTCGGGTATGGGTATGTATTTGCAATGCTATTGCAGTGTAATCTCTTTATTGACATCTATGGCTATTTAAGATATTACACGACGATTTAAACAACAACCAAGTGAAAACCAAGTAAAACAAATAACGAAAATTAAACAAAATTATCTAAAAATATTGCCGTCGCAATTTTTAACCCTTCAAAATACATATGACCAACATTGAGTTAAAAACGCAAAAATGCAGTAACCCATAACTGAAGGAGTACATCACTTTCGTTAAAATGAACATCACTAATCAAATTTCGGCTTATAACTAATACTAAACTGTACGCGACTAAAGGCAATCAGGTGTAAGACGGAAGCTGGCTGTACCGCTGGAAATATGACAATTATGATAGAATAAACGAATGAACATGAGGTCTTCTATTTATGTAAATTGCGGATACCCTATATTAAGTTATTTAGTCGGCGGTTTTCCACTTTAGATGCAGCTAATGGTTGTAGGATCTATAAATGTAATGACCAACTGTCTTTTTGCGATGCAATTACTAGGACTGATTGGTATTTATGGTAGTCCTGGTAGACGACTCAGATGTACAAAAATATTAATTAAATCACATGTAAAGTAGACTATTACACAGGCACGTAATGGTATGAGATTGTTGTTAAATTGTTTTGTCTTCTTACTAATATTATAAATGCGAAAGTTTAGATGGATGGATGGATGGATTTTTGTTACAGTTTGTAGGCTAAACGGCTGAACGGATTTCGTTGAAATTTGGTATAGATGTAGAGGATAGTATGGAAGAACACATAGGCTACTCACTTTTGTTTTTTTTTTAATTCCACGCGGACGGAGTCGCGGGTGAAAGCTAGTTTTATTCTAAATTCGGAAGTAAACGATTTCACTATGTATGGTAGAAGAAATTAGTTTGCGCGATCACTGTTCGTCGTTGAGTTGGTCGCGAAAAATGCAAGTATAAGAAACTATCAAGAAGAAGTTGGTGCCTTCGTGACAACCTCGATGTTTACTGTAAACCGTTGCCAATATGCGCAGCATCGCGCTTGCGTTTACTAGCAAACGCAAGCGCGGTACTGCGCGTTTGGTCCTATCAACACAGTAAACCAACGCTGAAGAATTGCAGATCAAGAAACCCAGCAATTTCAAGAAGATTTTACATGACCAAGACTTAGAAGAAAAATGATAGGAATATGACAATAAATATGTTTAGGTTAAAATGTTTTCTTGTAAATTGATGACGTGAAATATTTGCAGCCTTCCGCTCTAACTTCTAAGTCTCTATTGCCCGAAAAAATATATGAGAAAATAAATGCTAGAGACCAAATGCCAGTGCAGCTCAGGGCATCACAAAGCGTTAACACTTCACAAGCATTGCCATCGGCAAGCATTAAATCGTCAGGATCGGCTACGAGTGGTGGTTCTAAACCTAAAAGTTGCTCCAGTATTTTAGAGAAGTTGATCCCAAATTTAGAAGAGATTCAAAAAATATTAAAAGAGAGATGGCTAGTTACTATAGAACCAATTCAGATTAAACGTACAGAGGACAACGTTGAGGTGACGTTTTTCCAATTACTATTTTTATTGTTAAGTGTTTAATTTTTAAAAGTAGCGTTGATTAGTTATTTGGATTACTTAAATATGAAATACGTTGGTACATTTTGGCTTCAGCCTTAGATGCATCTAAAGGTTATTTACGATAAAAACAAAACATTTAGGTTATTCAAAAAATGTGGTTCCTTATGGGTTTAACGTGGATAAGATTATGGTCATTAGCTTAAAAGTGAATGTAGGCAAACGGTTCCCAAGAATTATACAAAGAGAATTATTTTAATATTGTTCTAAAAGGACTTACAGCTGTTTTATTATTCGACTGGTCTGTTTATTTTTGTATTCCATTATCTGTTATTACGAGCACATCGTGCTGCCACAGATTATTATCATTAGCTTTACCTACATGCCACAGATTATTAACACTAACACTAGCTACGAACATGTAGCTATTAATTAAGCTGTTTGCTGTAATTATGCGAGGAATAAATTCTTTTTGATACCAGTTGCTTGATGAATAAAAAGAACTGTTATTTCCAGCCACATACTGACAAAATCATAGTTAACCCGTTTCTCGTTATCCGCTACGTTAGCCCTCATTCGCTTGATGAATAATATAATAAAAAGAACTAACTTTTACATCCACCCATATTGATAGAATCAAAGTTATACCCGCTACTCGTACGTTAGCCCTTATTCGCACGGCGATTTGTACTGCTCGGCGTTGACGCTTTTTTAATGCCCTCGCTCATACGAACGCTTTGAAGTCATCTTGTTTCGTTCGCGCAGCGCTTAAAATGCCACATTTCGAAATTTAAACGCGCTGCGAAAATGCATTTTTTCTATTTCAACGCTTTTTTAACGCACGTTATAAAAGCACCCGTGCGAATGGGGGTTTAATATTACCATATATAATAATGTCATGGTAATATTCTCTCATTAAAAAAAAGCACAATTTATCAGTTTTTATCCGTACTCTACTACGGTGCTCTTTGATTGGAAGGGAGAATTTTTGCACGTTAATGCTTTTGGTGACGGAAATCAAATACACCGCTTTACTGCAAGGGTGAATCAAGATATAAGAGTTTATTATATAACACGTATGCACATAAATACCTTTACTACAAAAATACAAATTAGATGAAATGATCATAATAAAAAAAATATTTGCAGCCCTCCGCCTTAACCTCTAAATCTATATTGCCCGAGAAAATAGACAAGGATGTGAAATCGGAAGATCAAGTGCCAGTACAGTTAATGCCTTTAGTAAACAATCAATCCTCTGTTTCAACAACAAGCAGTGACTCACAGTCGGAAGTTTATCCAAACATACACGACAGGGCGACACCCAACTTGGAGGAAATCCAAAATCTATTACAAATAAAATGGCTTGTGAATGTCCCGTCTTCCTCCAGTAAAAGTACCGAGGAAAATGAGGAACTAGAGGTGATGTGTTTTTATTTGATTTTTAGCCATTTGGATATCTATTTTTATTTTTATAGGTAGGTACGGTTAGGTTTATTTTTATGTAAACGATCTGTATATTAGGTAAAGGCTGATCATGTTACAAAAGAGGAAGAACCATCCGGTGATAGCAGTAACGAGAAGCAAGAACAGCAGAATAATAACAAGTCTGTTGAGACAAAAGCTTTAAAGAATACTAAACTAGAGAATGATAAATTGGTTAAGGGTAAGGCCACAAAGACTAAGACTAAAAAAATAAAGTTGGGCAAAAAGGATGAAGTGGTTGAAACGAAGGCCAAAGAAGATGTTGTTAAAGCGGAGGTATGTGTACTTTATAACTTATCTTATTAAGATTATTAAGAGTTTTGTATCTTATAATTAAATGTTTTTACATTTATTGATATTTTGCTTTTTAATTTTAGACCAAAAAGTCGGATGAGTCCTCGCTGTCCAAAAACAAAAAAGAAGAGAAACAAAGCAGAAAAGAAGTAGACAAGGAAGGAAAGGTACTAGCTACTTTTTTGTACCATCGTAGGTTTGCTTTGTTTCTCTCATATGAAGTGGGATAGTTTAGAGCCTCTTTATCAGCTTGTCGAAAAAAACATTACGCGCTAGGGTTTCGTTTTCTATTTAGGCAGATTTAAGATTGGCACGTTTTTCTAACGTTTTTATTCTTTAGGACATTAAAGAGGGGACTGCGATGAAAGAAGAAAAAGGATCCGATAAGGGAGTATCTAAGGATTCCAAGAAAAAAGAAAACTCAAAAGGTCTCGATGTTGCGGAGTGCATTAGGTAAATAGGTGCATTTTCTGTCATATACCCTTTAGTTTATTTTCATTTCTCACTTTATACAGGGTGTCACGACGCTTCTGAACAAATTGTTGCTTTGTGTTTGTAATAGCTAAATATAATTAAATCATTCCTTGTATGTTTAACCTTATATGATTGTCTGTTTTTATTTTCTGTTGCTGTTTATTTAATATGGAGTATTACTGCAGGAAAGAAGTTGCCGCCGACGACAAGAAGGGGAAAAAGTGTGCCGAGAAACCGGTGAATGACAAAAAGCAACAGGTATTTGTAAATCCTCAAGGAGTGCTACACCTTTAGCCAGTTGATTACTAACATAAAAAAGCGGCTTGGTTACGTCTAAACCAACGGAATTTCAGTTTTTTAAGTCGTCTTGATCTTTGCGAACATTATGTTTTGTATGCTAAGAGTTTTGTTTGATTCAAAAGCATTAAGATTATTTTTCACTGTGGTGACGGGTTTTGTACAATTGATGAGTGCATTATTGACTTTTAGTTGGGTTAATATAACATAGAAATGCGATTTTAAATAAAATCGGCTGAAGATACTAACAGTTATTGGTTTTAATCTCTATAACCATGTGTGGTAGATTAAGAAGAATGAAAAGTATTGATAAACTTTGAGCCATCGCATAGCACTGCGTTGCATGACTTCGCATGGTATCGTAGTGTCGTAGTGTCGCACCGAATGTAACAGTATGTTAGCATTTGTTGCATGAAGAAATGTAAGAATGATCAGCACATTTAATGGGCCATTTTTTAATTTTATTTCTTTACACACTAAGATAAATATAGTTTTTTGAAAATGATTAATAGAAATGCCTTTTATTCTACTAAAATATTAAACGTTCCCATATTGACACTCTATTGAGTGCCCGTTTCTTCGACGGAAATGTTCGATCGTATTTATATTTACAATATAGATTACTTAAAAACAGATCAAGTCATTCGTATTTGTTAAATACTAGAACATGTATATTGTGTTTTTTAAATAATAATCATATTGTTATTCTGTTAATACGTATAATATGTTAGGTACTTAGACTTAAGAAGTTTTTATAAATTGTCTACTTCAGAACTAAGAAATGTTGAATAGAATCGTTTAAACTGTACTGGCTAATGAACTTAATACATGTACATCTAGCATATATTTAGTTATACGGATGTAACTTGTATTGTATTTTTTTAATTATTTAATTTCTTAGTTTTATTTTAGTGAATAATACTAAATGAATTGTCAATATAATATGCACTTCATTTTGTCAGCGTGAAGTGTTATGTACTTGATTATATTCAATTTAATGTAAAAAGTTTTCAGTAGAAATAGTCATAGAAAGAGATGGATGGATTGCGTGAATGGTGATATGATTAAGAAGGGAGTGACGGCTGTAGATCGACCTGGAGGACGAACATCTGGTGCACCCCGCGTTGTGTGGAATGAGAACAGATGATGATAAAATTCCATATAATCTAATGTTATAGCAAGAAACACAGCCGGCAGTGGAAATTGTTCAGTCAGCTAAGAAGACTCCGTGGTCGGATGCGGCGTCTGTACAGACGCAATCTGCCAACAACTACAGCATGACTTTGACTAATATACAGCGACTCGAGAGAGAGAAGAAAATGGAAGAAATTAAAATGCAGCAGCGAATGATCCAAATCATTGCCTCCCAACAGGCCGAGACAATCGCTAGGGAAAAGGTGACTTGTTTTTATTTATTTTTTATAATTGCATTTTTGAGTTATCGTATAGTTTCATTGTAGTTTATTTTAATAATTATCAAGATACCATTGGACCATTTATCATTACGGTCATTTTTGTATTATGTAAATAGTTGTAAATATTGATTAATAAATTTACATCTTTGGATATTTGCACTATTGACCAAAGAAGTGCTTCAAGAATGTAAAAAGTTGTTCGTAAACCGTAAATAAGTAATTTGAATATTGATAGATAATGCAAGCTCGTCTCCATTGGGCTAAGACGCGGCCCTCTTCTAATGTGGTTCCACAAATGATTGACATACAGGTAAGCTAAATTACAATTTATACCATACATTTTCTACACTTTTTCAAACACAAATTTTAGAAAAACTTAACTTTAATATAATCATTCTGTTCCATTTCGTGTATAATGTTGAAATTAGAAGGATTTTTTAAATGTAGCAACTTGTTTTCAACTCTGTTACGATTAATAAGTCGGTATTTCGTAGGCTGAGGCTCGTATGCAAGCAGCGGCGGAGTCATCGGCCGCGATGGCCCACGCCTTGGATGATCCTGAAGCACTACTCCCTCCCATTCCTAACACCCCTTGGGCCACATCGGGCAAAACCGATCCGCCTGGTGAGTTTGTATGTACAATCATAGAATTAAATTCAAACTGTCACCATAATAGCTACATTATAGTACATTACCATATTTCTATGACTATACTTATCGATTTTGAGACATTTATGTAAACTAGACAGAGGCTACAAGAGTAGATCACGTTTATACAAAACTTGTGATAATACGAATAAATGAATTATTTATTTCAGCCCCTATCGGCTTCTGGGATGCTCACCCTAATGGTAAGGCGGGTGATAAACCTCAAGAGTCGCAGAAAGGTGAAGAGACAAACACGCCGACTAAGAAAAAGGCTCCCACTCCTGTTAACACACAAAAGGAAGAGTCGCCTGCTGTTCTGGAGTTCGATTCCTGGTGTAAAAATGTCTTAATGACGTGGGACAAAGCAGTGGATGGTAAGACATAACAAATGTTATAAATGGTTGATTGATTTTAAAAAACATCCTATCAAAGTTTCTCCAAGATCTGTGCAGTGGTTAGGAAACGCCTATACTTTTACCGTATGGCATACACATTTTAACATTGATTTTTGTATTATACTTAGATGTTTTTTTTATTTTCCAGTATCGACCTTCGTCAGCTTCCTTAAAGATATCGAGTCACCGTACGATGTCAAAGACTATGTCAAGTTTTACTTAGGAGAGTCGAAAGATGCCAATGATTTTGCTCGTCACTTTTTAGAGAAAAGGTCAGTAAATTTATTTAGAGCCACGTATTAAGATTCAATATGTTAAAATGTTCTATGTTCTTTGTTTCCCTAGTCCTTTTCAAATGTTACATAAGCAACGATATGTATTCGTATATTGTACTTATGTAAGTTTGTTCGGCAGGTCCAAGTTACTTCGTGTGGGTACTGTTACGCCTTCGGACGATCTTTGCTCCCCGGCAATGGCTATAAACCCTCGCATGTCTCTTTCGGGTTACCAAGAATTAAAGGTATGTACACTATTAAAACTTTAATTATTTTTAGTTACAGCAATAGGCGAATATATTTCTTTATGTATAACGATGTTTTTATACATCTTAAGAACATTTTTTACAGGGCAAGGGCAAAAAGGCGAAAAAGAATAAGATGTTAAAAGTGGATTCGCGCATTCTTGGTTTTTCCGTAACAGCTGCCGAGGACCGGATTAATGTTGGTGATATTGATACTGCCTGAACGCCTACTGTGTTCAATGTGTTCCACACTTCGAGCTTTCAACAGAAACCGCTGTAAACACGACGGAAGTATTTATATTGTTTTTAATTTAATTTTTTTACGTAAGATGAATGTTTTTATGTTTTTGGCCACTCGAAAGTGAGATGCGCTGCCCAGTACGCACAATACCGACGCTCCCGCGTGTCTTACGCCTCCGCCACCCACTCTTCCCTCTCTCCCATCCCTGCCACTGCACCTTCTCTCCCTCTCAACCCTGCCCCTTGCCTACCTCCCATCCATGCCCATTAACTCTCACCCATCCCTGCCCCATCTTTTCCTACCATCACTGCTCCTTTCCTCCCTCCTTCCACAACCCTCCCCTTTCCCTCTCTCCGTCTTACCATACCGAACGTCGTGTTCTGCACAGCGTCTCCTGCGAAGTTCCGCGCCGATGGCAAGTTTTAAAACTATATGTAATACATTATAATTCATACTTGATGCATTAGAATGATATTTTTTTATTTAGATTTTAATATGTGTTATTTATTGTAGAAATGACTTTTTATTATTCAAACATTGTGATGTCCACGATATTATTATAGGTGTACCAGTGTCTGTTGGCATAGAATGATGATTAAATTGAATGAAATATATTTTAAGGTAAAACTGATTACGGTGGATAGAAATGGAACATTATAATAATTGTGATTTAAGATGTGGTAGACCTATACATGATAATGGTAATATGAATTAAATATTGATTAATTTTGATTTTTACATTCAAATTATATATGCTATAGTTTTCATATTTTTTAAAATGTCAAAGATATTATAATGAAATTATATGTCCTCTGTGTGTTTTAAACTCTGCATGTTTTAATTTTAAGTGTGTTAGGTGTCCAATTAATTTTTATTAAATTTAAAACATTAATTTTAATTGATACTAGTCACCACGAAGATCAATAACAAACTATTATATGAAATATTTGAAACTAAATTCATGAAATGACAGACTCTATAATTTATATTTTTATCTTTACAACAGTTTTTGGCTCTAAGGTAATTCAAATGAAACTTGTTCAATCTTAGCGTAAGTGTTTTAGACAAGACTTTACTCTAAATGTGTAGATTTTAGATTCAATTTGCATTGCACATTTTCATTAATATACCATTGTCTTTGACTAAAAGTTTATTCAGTAATGTCAAGCGATCAAACCCAGTCTTAATAAGACGGTTTACGCTGTCATATCGAAGTTAAGCAATATATAAAAATATAGAAAATAGTAAGGTTATTGGTAAAACCAACACTATATTTTTGGTTTCTTCGTTGGTCAAAGTCGCGAATGAAATTTAATTGTAATAAAGTGTTTAGGCAATAATAAGTTACGTATATAATGACAAGTGTATGTTTATTTTTTTGTGTCGTTCGCTTTCGAAACGGTTTTTCTATTCATGAAATGTTTCGTCCTTTTTTGATTTTAATATGTGCCACAAGTATGTTCGCCTTTTTGGCCAATTTATTTCTAAATTAGAATACGATGTCCAGATATTTGAAACTAAGTTTTGTTGATATGTTTATTAATTTATGTCTAGTGTATAGTACTTTATCTCCCGAAGCTACAGCGCTTTAATAGTGGTATAATTCTTTTAAATAATTTAACGACCACCACCAATGTGCTTGCATCGACCTGTGCGATGTTCACAGCAGTTGAAATTGACAAATGTAATCGTGTTGAGGCGCTATGAATGTGTGTATTTTGACGACTCATTATCAACTTGCCCTTATGCCTACGACGGGTCGGCACAGTATTTGCTGTTCTTCCATACATTTCTTTCAGTTGAATCTATCAAATCTTAATCCACTCACTTTTTAAGCATATGCTCTTTCACTCAATCCATCCATACTTTCTTCGGTCTTTTAAATTTGAATGATTAGCCGACGACGTTATATAGCCATGGCTTGTACCATGCAGGGATTCGATGTAAAGGTTGATAATGTCAATTAGTAGTGGCCAATATACAGCAGTGGGCTTAATGTGGCTGATCACAACAATAAATAATAAGTAAAACTATGTTTTTGCTTAATAAAGTAAGGTTACATGTTTTAGGTTACCACAAGTAAAGCGCATGTAACTTCGTAAGATGAAAATGCTAAAATAGTTTTGATGTGTGCACTGTAAATAATAAATTAAACAAGACTACTCCTAGTATCTTTTGATGTTAGTCTTTTTATGAATATTATACGGAAAGATTTGTTTTAGAATCGTTACTATTACTTTAATGTGGTTATAATTCATGTGTTGGATGTTTATTGAACACAAATAGTTTATATGTCATTTGCATTTTTTAAATCTCTAGTGATTAATAGCCCGCGTGATTTTTTTTAATATTTAAGGTTGCAATAAAGCAAGCTACACACCTTTAACTCAACACTGATTGTTCAGTTAAAACGTACGTGTGTAAATGTACGTATAAAACGGAATTGTACAGTTTATTTTGCCGTTATAATTTTCCCTACACACATACGATTTAACTGAGCAATGTGACTAGTAGGTCAAACTTGTTATAACTAAAGAGGTGTAGCGGGTTTAAAGAAATTGTTGAATATTGTTAGCACATGTTTATGTACAAGCAAAAATTTGAGTATTTTGGTGTCAAATATGATTTAATACTTTAACTGTTCCTAACATATTTACGGTTCCGCCAAAGGAGTTTAATGAGCGTTACCTCCGATAAAAATGTTACCCCTTAGTTAGGAAATACACGCATTTTTTAACTTACCAGAAAGACTACAGTGGAAATCTACCTGTGTAGATTACATTGTAACTGTTTATTTGTACAGTTCTCAGTTCAAGTAACACACAGTTCAGTTTAGCCTGTGAAGTTAAAACCGAAGATTTCTAGCTGACTCTAAATAGTCTCTAAACATGTATGGACAGTTAAAGTATTGATTATTTAGTAGGCCTCCTTGGACAACAGGTTAACATTTAACAGCTCGTTCCCACTTTTCTGATGAATGCGTTATAGTATATTTTTAATATTTCATTCACATTTCACCCACACTAGTTTTTGCCGGAAACGACGCTAATTCCAAGTCCTATCGATTGGCTAAAATTTTGTTGGAAGCTACACAGTAGTAGTATTTCAAATAAAAAACTTTGCGAAAATCAAGATGACTTTTGAGATCGATCGGAACATCGATCATTCGTTATTGAGACCCACCTTTAATGATACTATCTTTGTTTGGGTCGGACAACGAGTGTGAACAGAGGCACCGTCATCCAAAACTTGGGAACGAGCTCGAGAAAAACTTAAGCCAGGATGTGCTCAACTTTTTCTATGTTAACCTTGTCACTATGGAGTATAAATATTTTATGTTTAGGAGACAATTTTTTCATTCAATTTTATATTCTTGCAACCTTAAATGTTTTACCTGACTGGGAATGACAACGGGATACATTTACAGTCAGGTAAAAATGTTGTCGCCATACGAGTAGTTACTTTATATTTATTGAAACATGTTAAAACAATTTGTGAATTGACTACTTGTAAATATTAGACTTAAATAAAATAGTTGGTTATTGGGTATATGGTGTTTCTTTTAGCTATGATCTCCCTTTAACTTGTGTCTCCACTGAGAGGCTCGAAGCACACTCTAAGTAAAGTGTGCTTAGGTTATAGTCAATCACGCTGGCCAACTACGGGTTCAGACTACTACATAATTAATACATGTTCAGTGCAAAAAAATATCTCTTTGATGCTACACTGTTCCATCAAACTTAACGACATAGGATCACTCGTAAAGATACGACTATGGAATTGTGCTTCTTGTAATCGAAGAAGAAAAAGGTATTTTTACTAAATTCACTAGTTCCGTACTTGCTAAACACAGCATATGTATTTTAAATTAATCACTGGTTTATAAGAATGAAAAGGAAACAGACTTCAGTTATTTGTGTCATTTATTACATGTCATGCGTGGAACAACAAAATAATCACTGGTATCAAAAGGAATCGTACATAATTAACATTTATGTTGAGGAATTTTTTAAACATCTAACATGAGTAGATTAGCTCGTGGCTTTAGCTTTTTCGCACGCATTACGAGCAATTATAGGAAAGCACAAGGCTTATCAATTTGTATTAAAACAGTGGCATTTCGCGGCAAGGCTCCGAACAAAAATTTTTATATAGAGATTTAGGTCAATAATTTAAGAATAAGGCCGTCGCCTCCGGCGTCTAACTTGTCTTAAACTGGAACAAAGCTTTCGTCTCCCGCCGTACCTACGCTTGCAACGGCAAAGGTCACGGGCTAGTTTGTCTATATACCTTTTGCCCCGTTTATCGAGAAATCCTAGCGCAGCGCTTGATTCTAATGTTTCCTCAGCTTTGCATGTTAAAACATTTTCTTTCCATACGTCACCGAACTTTTGTTGTAAATATTTGGTCACGTCTTCAGCGGTCGCTCCATTGCTATCGACGATCTTATAGAATGCGCTTATAACTATTTTTGACGTGTTTGTATTTTGCTCTTGGATATTATTTGATGAGGACATATCTAATTTGAATACTTATAAGAAAAATCTAAATATGTAATGTAAATACATTAGTCAGAATAAAAAAATCTTAATTTCGGAAAATGACATTGACAATTTTTGATAGCAGTGATTTTATTTCTTTTAAAAACGTTCTTCAATATTTTTATGCGCTGCCAGATTACATATAATAGATGGTTTTAATTTTTTAGGTATGTAGTAATCACATCACTATTTTATATTTTTATTATAAACAACACAGTTTTTTTTAAGTTTACTTTTGTAGATTAATATTCAGATGTAATGAAATTATTGACAGGTTGATTGTAATTTAAGAATAATGTGACATAATATCAAAATTAGAAGAGCAGTTGTTTCTATCAAATCTTATTTCATATTCTGTCAAATCAAAAATCTAACTTTACTATTTTGATGCATCACATTTTAAAATTAGAAATTTGGAGTCATGCTTTAGAAAACCTAAATTTCATATAAAATGACGACTGAAGAAGCAGCGGAGGAAACTGCGCCTCCGAACCCGCCGGGGAGATTGATCCTCAGGTACCTTCATGACGTCAAAGAAGGCGCTACCTCTGCTGAAATTGTGCGATTTCTTAGAACGAATTATAACAAATTAAGCAGTGATGAATTAAACCAAACTGTGGAGAAGATCTTAGAAAATGGAGTGTCTTTAGGGTTTCTAGAGAGGAAAGGTTCCAATTATTTGAATTGGAAAGCGCGTGAGGCCTGCGGGTGCAGGAGACGCAGACGGCGGAGGAGTTGCAGACGGCGACGAAGACGGATCCGACGGCGATGCGGACGACGCCGGCGCCGGCGCAGGGGCTGTTGCTGTCGCTAACCTTTGATATACCATACCATACCCACAAAATCCTTGAGTGACGTGTTTAGCTTTTTAATTCTAGTTACATATTTTATGCTTTACATGTTTGTTATAATATTCTCGTACTGATTTCTTTTTGAATGCGTGAATTGAATAAAAGATGTTGAGATTTTTCAAATAGTTTATTAATTACATCCATTTAAAATACATACATTGGGGAAATAAAAGCGTTTATACCTGTGGACTTCTAATGTCGGAACACTGGCATTAAAACATGTTATCCCCTTTGGAAAAAACGGATAAACGCGTATGTTTTTATACAAGTGTTACGGCAATGGAATTGCAAGGAAACACAGGATTTTGCATATAAGTGGATTACTTGATGGGCATACACATCTCCAAACACGGAATTAGAACCAACACAAAACTCAACCTTCTACCTATATCAATAGAAACCAAAGTTTCTGGTTGTCCTTTACGCATTCCTATACCTTAACCCAATCTAAACCACCGGTCTGTTTAAGATGAAACTATAATAGGATGTTTCGAGTTCTGAGAACAATTACTTCAGTTGTCTTTTACAAATTAGATCTTTAGTTATCTAAGCAATTCACAGAGTGTTGAAGTATACGCGTGTCGCGTTCATTCGTGCGCGTCTCAATAAAGCTCGAAATTCCAAGAATTTTTCCGTAGTCGTTTGACATTGCATGATGGTGCAGTCAAACATCGATTAAACGCCATACAATAGCACTTAGAACAATCAACACATTTGAACCCAACATGGGCTGCAATGCCAAGTAAGGACATCTACAATTAAGAGGGTTGCAAAAACTCATAACGTTAACTATCAATTTGACTAAAGATAAAGGAATACATTGAGGACAATCATGCAAATGTTGTTTCATATAGATCTATGCAACTACATATACAGGGTGATTCTTAATGTACGGATCAACGATTTTGTGGTGGTAGAAGACCTCAATAGCTATCATTTAAACGCAAAGTTTGTTGCCCGATTTTCTATAGTTTTAAAGTTTTAAAGTATGGGTATCGTAATCCCTTTTTTGGCATAACTCACACGAGAACTAAGTAAAAAATAAAATGATTGAAAATTTTCTTAAAAAAAAATTCTTTCTTCAACTTTGAGAAGCTTTAACTAATTTTTTTAGACCAACCTTTTTCTGCGAACTTTTTTAAAAACTGCGTCCATGTCTGTAGAATAGAACGAAAAAAAAATATTCGCCTTTCATTTGTTTTTCATGTAAAAAGAACGGTTTGAAATAGTCGAGGACGACAATCTTGCAACTTTCATACAAAATATACGAAAACTGAATTTTTCCAAGTCTAAAAAGCAAAATTTTATTTTTTTTCATTAAAACATTACTCGTTACATAAATAAAAAAAATTAAAACTATTGATTTTGGTTTATTTTCACAATACAATTCAATTTTGAATGTAAACCTACACTACGTACTACGATAGATCATAACTTAACGTGATGGATGATATTATCTGCATATTTTTAAAGAAAATGAGTATAAACTGTAATTTTTTAATGAAAAAGATAAAAAATTATTTTTATACTTGTTTGAAAAATTATATTTTCGTTTGTTTTGTATGAAAGTTGCAAGAGATTGTCGCCCTCGACTATTTCAAATCGTTCTTTTTTCACTAAAAAACAAAAGAAAGGCGAAAAGTTCTTTTTCGTTTTATTCTACAAGCTAGGGCGCAGTTTTTGAAAAAAAGAATTAGTTACAGCTTCTCAAAGATGATGAAAGAAATTCTGGTTTAAGAAAATTTTCAATCTTTACTTCTACTTAGTTATCGTGTGAGTTATTCCAAAAAAGGGATAACGGTACGAAAACCTAATTATTAGGCTTGTTAAAGAAAGAAAAGACCACTGTAAACACATTATTTTGGACGTACGGACAAATTTAAGTCTGAAATCTGGTTTTTCCGATTTTTTTTTACAAAAAATTAAATAACTTTGAAATTTTCGCTTAACTTTTAAACTATAGAAAATCGGGCAACAAACTTTGCGTTTAAATGATAGCTATTGAGGTCCTCTACTTCCACAAAACCGTTGATCGGTCCGTTAAGAATTGCCCTATATAGTGATGGAAACCCGTTACGTAAAATATACTATCACCCGTTAATTGTGTGGTTCTACTTTCGTATCCCGAAGTACAGTCGCGGGTAAGAAAACGTTGGAAATCACACTACCGCAAAAGTGAATCGGAACCGAAGCGAACTCTAATACTGTATGTACCAAGCGTGGATTTTAAGATGTATCATTTGGTCATAGTAAAATGTAATGTGAAGCGACCTCCTTATTCGATTTTCGTTTCGTTTCGGTTTCAATTTATTTTCGCAATAGTGTGGTACATATTAGACGTTACAATTAATACCAATTACGAGTAATACAATATCAGATATCAAGGTTAAGTGTATGCATCAAGGTTTAATTATGTAAAGAAGTGACGGCAAACTACGTATAGAATGAATCCATTATAAAAGTGACGTGTTGTATTACGATACTTTGTAATCGTTAATCATTAATTATACAATTTAAGTCCTGTTTATTTAAATTAATGTGCCACGACTCTCCATTTACTGTCATTACTGAGCAGCTACAAAGGTGATGGGAGCTGATGACAATCAAACTGTTCATGAATTATCCCAGTAACAATTTAAATTAATAGAGTTTTAAATTGTATCGATAATGAATCTGCAAAGAGTCGAAATATGACATGTCACTATTGAAATAAACACCTTCGATGCGTGACTTGTTGACTATTTACTTTCACAATCGTTCGATGAATTATATAATTTTAACAAGTTACTTTGAAAAGGTACTAAGTGGCGAAGGTTTTTCTACCCCGACTGTTTTGCGACTTTCACGAAATCGAACCGGAATCGAAGCGATTACAAATTGAACCTAGGTTCACTACTAGTATGCATTTGGTTTGTTACACAGAACTAATTAGTTACTGCAGAGCTAACGTCGAACTACGTTCCATTTACACATCGATAGTGTTTCGCGTCACGCTTCGCTTTGGTTTCGGTTCGCTTTCACTGTCTTGTGTTATACCCTCAAAATACATACAATGGGAATCATATATTTCAAAAGCATTAGTGTGGGTTTCAACTGCAGCTACACATAAATTGACATATATATCGCTGTCTCTGTTTTTATCCAAGAGAATGTCAGAACGCGTCTTGCAGTTGAAATCTACAGTCACGGTATATTTACATATTCGAGTACAAGTTTACTAAAGTTAATATGGAAATATAGTTAAATTTCTAAATACGAGTTACATTAAGATTACGTGAATATTATATAGACTTTTCTTTAATTAGAGAGACTAAAATGACACAAGGAAATATTAAATTTCAAAATAATGTCATCATTTTTTCTAGTTGTAATAATGCTACCAGTTTGTTAAATCGTAACTTTTATTTTTAAAGTGTGTTTATTTTAATTTTATTAATAAAAAGACCGTTTTTCTGTACTCCGCTAGAATTCAGAAAATTGACAGTTCTACGAGTATTATGTTTACAAATATAGACTAGGATAACAATGTATTTGGTACTGTTGCCTGCAATATTATGTGTTACTTGTTATTGTAAACTGTTATATTTTTCAATCATGTTATTAGTTGAAGCAATATTATTTCAATAGCATTAAGTGATTTAATTTTACATGTTTAATTCATGTTAATTATTCCGTTTTGAATAAGAACTTTAACAGATCCATAATATGATAAAACGTTATCCGGTAGTGGGTCCATAGCTATTTAAAAACGAATTTGAGAATATCTTCCTTTTTGAAGGTTTGTAAAAAAGTCCAAAATGCTGGCAACATCCGATACGTTATTTTAGTCGCTCTGATTAAATTAGTCTTAAGATTAAGATAAGATTAACGTTATAATAAATAAATTAAGTTAAACCCCAGTCAGAAATTTTAGGTTTTAACACTAAATAACTACAATAGAGTAATACGCTTTAAAATTTTGATTTACTCCTCAGATATATGCTGGAGTTAATGATGTTAGAACAATATTCAAACTTTAAAACCGCTCGTGGTCAACTGCGAGCTATTTACGCGTACGCCTATTGCGGGGGAACAAAATCAACCAAAACTGAGATGTGCAGCGTTTCGAGCGAAACCGCGACTAGCCATAAATTCTGGCACTGTGTTAACGGGCATTTATCTAATTGATAAATTGCCTTTAAATAAGATTTACAAAAAAAAAAATAAAGAATTAAATAGGATGCTTTAAGCATTTAGACATGATTTTAAACATATACTAAAGTTTATGAATTTTATTCAAAGGTATATATAATATAACTTGTATAGTCTAATACTACAAGTATACGAGAGTATAAATATTATATATTGTAGATATAGAAGTAATATAAAATCGAAAGAAGCGGTATCTAATTTACTACACATACTATGATTTTTTGTTCCTACGAAGAAATTAAATGCATCTAACGGAAAAATGAAGGAATACATAAGTTTCTTTAAAAATAATAACATCGATCGATTAGCTACAGAACGACTACATTATAAATGTGCAACTAAAATATGTATAGTTATTTAAAGCAGTCTTAGTGTAAAAATCAGATCAAACAAGAGCGTTATAAAATACGTAATAGTCATTATTAGAAATAATACTAAAGGAAAATTTATTTTAATAGACATAAATATTGGCTTTAACAAAAAGTAATTTAAATTAAAATTGTAACAAATAACAAAATTTATAAGTAAAAGTTAAGTAAATAATACTGTTTAAACTTAGGTTTAATTAATACTGTTTAGAAAAACTTAAAAAAAAACTTTCGACAATATCAAAATAACAAAACAAAAAACTGAACTATAAATCTATGGCTCTTACGTAGATTATCATAGAATCAAACTTACACAGAAATTAGAATTTATCAAATTAATTAAAAAGAAACATACAAGGTGTAAAATGCAAAATTACGGATTGCATAGTCTACGTAAGAGCCAATACGAAAGAGAGCGACACGATATGGTGATAACGTAGATGTTTTTTGTGCTGTAATCAATGTTAGAAAGGGTGCAAATAAGCACATCATGTCGTTTCCTTTCCAATTAAATAATTAACAATTAATATGTTGATTATATCAAACATATTGGAATACACAAGTAGTAAACCGTTTGACAATATGAGGCCGAAATCAATATTCCATCTTTAAAATAACAAAGATAATCATGTGATAAAACGAATACAAAATCTTCTTAACAATAAAATATGTTAACCAATTGCTATTGACTTATTTACATAGATAACATTTTAACAGAATGCAATTAAAACGACAATCAAAGGATAGATTTACTCTAAGTTAAAAAGTGCATAGAGTTTTAGATGAATATCGATTTCGGTCGTTACTTATAAGTTAATTTAACATTAAAATATTCAACGGATCCAGGCTTATCATTTTTAAATAAGTTTATTATTGGAGGAATGTTTAAAACCGACAGTTACACAACTTTTAACACATCACAAGACAACATTGTACACAAACAAACGAGGAAGAAATTAACTTGGTGTTAAAATTAACGATTGAATGTAATTGTTGTTAAAATAATTGATAATTGAGGTTATGCCTTTCCTAGATCCGAGAATAACCAAACATTTATACCTCGTGACACATGTATGTGATGATGGTGATGAGATATGATTTAAATGTTATAAAACAATATAATCTTTAGCGAGCAATTGATCCAATAATCGCCAAAGGTTATACCGAATATCGCAAATAATGATATGGGTAACATTTAGATACGAGAAAAACACTTATATACAAAACTTTGAACTGTTCACCAAAGATGTGTTAACCAAAGTCTCAAAGAGTGAGACATGGGGTTTTTTATGGAATCTAAAACTCATTTGTAGTGTGCTATCAATAAAGATATTATTTACAAATGTAATGAATAATGTTGAATAATAAAATAAAAAATAAATTTGATATTAATTTGATATATAGAAGTTCCTTATACTTGCTACATTTTTAGTGTTAATGATATGAATATTTATAATATTATATGATTTAATTAATTTACTTATACAACTAGATGAAATTTTTTTTTTTACTTTTTTATGTTTTGATATAAAGGTTTTTATATAACAAGTAAAAGTAAAACTTTGGTTTACATCTACTTGTAATATAAATATATCTGCTTATGATTAGATCTAATATCTACTAACTACTGTTTTTGTGTTTTTAATTGTTTTTATAAAAAATCTACGATAAAAATTATCCTAATAAAAGCGATTCCTTGGATTCAAAAACGTATTATAATTACAAGTTATTCTCTGACTATGTTTTTAGATTTTTTGTTTTTTTTTTTGTTGTTGATAGATGTATTTACAGATTTATAACTATTAGTTTTTATATGCTATCGTTTATTATATTTACTGGTATATGTTACTTTAAATCTGTCTTATACAAATAATGATATTTACAAGAGGTAATTCAATACTCGTATATATCTTACGCGGAACTCTGAAATGAAAAATGGACAATGAATATGACTATGTTTTTGAGTAGATTTCTTAGCATCAATTTAATGTTCACTTATATAAAAATTAACGTAAAATTTCTGCATAACTAAATGTTACCCTCACCCACGTTCGGTGTCAAGTATTTACATAGTCACAGTATACGTGAGTTACATGAGAATGTCAGTGAAATATTAACATCGATTGAATCTATACATTTCCATATTTTACAATTAGAATACATATTATTAATAATCCTTAACAAAATTTAAATAAACCATAACCGAATTTAACTATACATACTACCTATTTACAGAGGAATTAAAAAAACAATAATGATATTAATTATTTTGGTGTAAAACACAGAAATATGACTACAACTCTTTGTATGTTTTTCTGTAATAGAAACTAAATATACAGGATTCAGGTAGTGACGCAACATTAGATTGTTTTTAAGCTCCCATTAGTTTTTTGACAAGGTACCCTGGCGCAGAGTAAATAAGAATGAGCAGCATGAGAGTTACCATCGCGCATACTGTTGATCTGACAACTGCCCATTTGTAGTTATGCCAGATGATGTAACGAATCGATTTCAGCGGATTTAGGAACCACATGAAGGACGCATCCGGACGACTGTAAAAAAATGTGAGTAAGTCAGTTTTGAATCTATTTATTTAACACTAGCACTCGCCCGCGACTCCGTTCGCGTGGTATTGTAAAAAACAACAGTAAGTACCCTATGTGTTCTTCCAGACTATCTTCTACATCTATGCCAAATTTCATCGAGATCCGTTAACCCGTTTAGGCTACAAACTCTAACAAACATTCATCCATCTAAACTTTCGCATTTATAACATCAGTAAGATAAGATTTGGTTTTGGAAAGGTACAAAATGCGCGTAAAGTGTCCATTATACTAGTTAAAAATAATTTTTACTTACTTCGGCTTGTCCAATGGATCAGGTTCGCTACGGCCTAGACCAACGGGTAATCTATCAGCTTCTTCGCGTGTAAGCAAGTGAATTTCTGCTTCAACCTTGCCAGTAAGTACCATTTCATCATTTTCCTTTTTTACATAGAAAGGCCACCAACCCTTTACACGCTTCTGTTTGAATATGTTCACCATCGGAACTGTCCCATCGTCACGCAGCATATCCAGGGTACACAGTTTGGCAGTCTTCGCGCCACGAGGGAATCTATTCAGATCTAAAGTAATAGCTCCTGTAAAAGTTTTAAATTTTATAGGATTTCGCTTTAATAATAAGTAGTATATAAAGTTTAATCCTTAAAGGCCTGATTTTTTAAAAAACAAATTAAAGAATGTGTAAATGAACGCTTTACTGTGTTTTTTACTAATGGGGGAAAATAGTAAAAAAATCAAAACGATATTTTATATGTTTTAGTAATATGCTCCTTTTTGGTTTTTAACATGAAGATAACAAGTCAAAGGTAACATGTAAACAGCTTAATAATAAAATAAAAACGATTGTAGGAGCCCAATGCGATATATAACCCCAGTATCAAATTTGAAACATCATTTAACTGTATTTAAGGGTAATTAGTACTTTAAAGTTTTACCCAAAAAATCGTCGGAAGAAAAATGATCAGCGTCCCAGACTTGCAGTTCCAAACGGGCTGGTATTTTGCATTCTGTCTCATCCCAAGAGAACATGTTCTCTTTTCTTGTTATAACAATGCGTTCCTCAGCCTCTAAATATTCGAATGGGTAGATGAAGCGCCAGTTAAAGTTTCCTTCACCAGTCAAAGAGCGGTAGTGAATATCGGTTGACTGACAATCATCAGGGCCTTTAAGCCACCTACGAGAATTAGATTATTACACATTATCATGATCATACAAACATTGAAATTTATAGAGTATTACTACGAGTATATTTATAGAGCTCTTACCCTTTGACATAAATGTCAGACATCTTTTCACCGGTGAAGAAAGCATCATCTTCCAGCACGACGTCATCAGTATTCCATACTATAACTCTCATTTCATAAGATTTGGGCTTACGGGGCGAAATGTCTATAGGCGGCCCGGGTAGCGGCATGTCCATAGGGAACATTTCAACCCACATCTGTATACGTCCTTGTTCAATACCTGTATTTAACGAATTTAAAATAAAAAATAAATAGTCTTCAAACATATGCAAATTTTAAAAATCTTTCTAGCTTTTGTTAGTAGGTTAGTATTTAAAACATACCAGGCTTGTTAGGGTTATAGAGAGGTCTGGTTTCAATATGCTCAGTTACGAGTTTCGTGCCTACACGAGGTACTTCTTGCCATCGATGTAGTACTACTAGAGCCATTTGCTCCTCAATTGTATCTGGGTTGGAAAATAGCTCCGCGTCATCCATCGGCATGTTGAATACAGTGCGTCCAACTTTAACACGCCCAGTCTCGTAAATTGGCGGATCGAGTTTTCCGTCCTTGCAAAGCTTAGCTAAAATCTGTGTTGGTTTCATAGCGTCTCGCCATCTGTTGTATCCTTCCCTAAAAATAATATTGTGAAGTTTACATGCTATACTAACTATCAGTCGATATTTGCAACTCTTTGGTACAACTCTATATATATATACTTACTCTTCGTATTTCAAAGCTAAGCCGCAAGTGGCTCTATGGCGGCTATAAAATCTATTCTCCAGATCAATCTTAGTTTCGCCTATCAAATCATCAACTCCCAGCAAATCCCAGTCAATAACTTGAACGGAAAGCATAGATTCTTGCGGGAGAGTAGCTTCGGTCTCATAACACCTACCGAAGACAGGATTAAGCTGTTTAGAAACATAATTGTCTTTGTCGCAGATTTTCTTTGATCCACACTGCAGCATTATGTATGGATCAGCTTTTCCATTTAAGTCCATAGGGTGTAAATCAGTCGCCTTAACTATGTAGACTCTCACTAAGACGCGGATAGGTTCGTTACTAGGGATTCCTTGGAATAATCCCAAATTAAGATCAAGACCCATAATTGTGTAATCGTCAGTTCCTTCTGGAAACGGATATTTATACACTTTTATCGCGCCCTGAAACAATTACATTTATATTATAGTAAACTCGTAATACATCCACTGTCACCCCTAACCCCTCGGTGGAAACGTGTGAACTAAAACGAAACTCTTAATAACATCTTGAGAGTTGCGAAGCAAAAGCAGGATTCGAAACAGTTACTTATTTATCCTAGATTTGGATTTAGGGCAAAAAAAAAGAAACGTTTATTAATAAAAATTACCTTGAAAGTCCCAACGACTCGATTTTCATCCTCGTTGTCATCACCTGTCTTCTTTCCTCGGTACAGATCAAATGAATGCAACCACTCCTTAAATCCGTCATATTCGGGTACAGCTTCAAGCTCGTGTGGATAGATCTGCAAGTATATATGCATCTTTGTAAATCAATTTATAAGAAGAAAACCTAAAACAACTTCACATGCAGTTTTTTGGGACACCGTTTTTATCCATAAAATTACCATGTACCTTCTAATTTAATTAAAAAAATAATCGATACTGTGTAGGTGTAGTGGCGCCACACTAGACCGACACAAAAATCAAGGCTCACGCGTCATTTCCGAATAATCTGGTATTCTAATTAGTTTAGAAAATAATTTAAACAGATATAGAAACTGTTATTTGATTATTGGCTAACCTTCATTAAAGCTGAGATAGGAATTTCATTTCTATTTTGTTGGAAAGTTGGGCTTAATTTTGATCGTGGTGATTGCATAGGACCTTGTCTTTTGCTACCGTAGATCTGCTGAAAATATTTGTCAGCGTGGATAAATCTTTCATCTGTTGAAGTGTGAGGAGTTTGATTTAAATCGGCGCGATCTCTCTTAGCCTCCATTTGTTCTTCAACCATAAAATTGACAGACGCAAAATATTTAGACCAAAAATCTTTACAACTATTATCGCTACTTAACATCGAACCAGCACTGGCTTTACGTTTCGTCTTATCCGTGTGCTTACTAATTTTCTTGCGAGGCGTGGGAGTAAGACCCGAACCATAGTACACAGCATTACGCCCCAGGCGTGCTATGAGAGGAGAATTTTCCCTTTCGTGTTCAATCGTGAAATGGTCTTCTTGTATTATGCAGTTTGCTCTCAAGTCAACGTTTTCTAATTGTATTAAAGACTTTTTACGCTCCTCGATTTCCCTTTCGCGTTTACTCATTGGTGTATAGATGTATTTGTGAATCGAGTTTATAGTATGTGTACCGACTAACGTCGCTCTTCCGAAGCTGCGGCAGTCAACAACTCGAATGGTTAAAGGAGGTCTATACAAGTCCTGGTCAGGAAGTTCGACATCAACGTACTTGATGGGATGTGCAAAATTCGGGTTACGCTTAGCGTTCTGTATGATGGTAGAATATATTATATTTCCTGCACATTCTATATCAACTCTTGGTTTGTCTACAGTAAGTAGATGAAGGCGTTTAAGATCTCTTAAGCCCCAGAATAATACTTCAATTCGGTATTTTGATAGCGTCGGTCTAATTCCTTTTGGAATGGGTAAAATAGGTCCTCTATTAGCATCCGCATCTACGGGTGGCTTTCTAGTAGCCTCTTTAGGAGAGGGAAGCTCTGGTAAGATGGAAGTTTCGAGGTTATTTGGAACTTCTAGCAGTTCGAAAGTAGCTAATAGCTCGCCAGCTCTTTCGTCACCACGTGTAATTTCATGCCATTCTAGCGATGGTGGAAAGTGAGGTTTTTCATAACTGTCTTCGAACGCTTTTATTGACGGTCTTGCGGTGGTGCGTCCGATAAATTCAGATTTTCCAACCTTGTCTTGGTCAAAAATTTCAATGATTATTGTCGGTGGGTCTGTTTTTATATGTTCAATGGAACTGAATAGTAAAATGTCTTTGAAGACAAGTAGCTCATCCCAAGTCGGGCTCAATGTTTCATCTATAACTTGAGTTGTAGCGACCGAATCTCCGATAACGACTCTGGCAAACGGATCAGACAGACCAGATGAATCAGAACCAATTAAAGAACGAGCTTGGTAAATGTATGCTCGCATTTGAAAGCTCTACAATAAGAAAGAAAACAAATTAATAACTATGATCAAATTGTACGTATGCAAATAAGAACCAAAATCACATGTTCATCACATCAAACTTACATGTTTTTCTGCATAAAATATTTTATTGGGTGCATTAACTCGCAGTTTATCCGCACTTTTTAATTCATAACCGACTTCATAACCTGTAGGAAGCTTGTCAATGTAATGTTTTTTATCTTGCAATGCTCCGAGCCATAAGTAAACACGAACCATTGCGGGTATAGCCCAACCACTAGGAGTAGTCGCTTTCTTTCCCGGCCACTGAAAAAAGATTTAATCATTGAAATAGTAGACGTATGTCTATACAAACGATATTTTAAATTCAATAATTACCCTCAGATATATAGATTGCATTTTTCCACAGAATTTTCCAGCCTCTTCTGAATGATCGGAGTAGATTAAATCTCTAGCTGGAATTCTATAGTAGGCCAACCGTTTTCCATTGCTGATCAGCCAGATAAATACATCAGGGAGTGAGGGTTGGGCCTATGGGATAAGGAAAATGTATTATTTTTCAAATGCATAACATTGTAAGTAAAATAGGGAATACGCATGTATTTTTTTCTTTTTTTAAACGATTCTACTTGTTGTAAAATAACCACAAAAAAAAATTGACACGAAAATATTCCTGGTAGAAATAAGTGGTAATTAATAATACTATTCATTATTTTTTTATTTCAACGTTGGTTTTGATATCGTGTTTTCAGTAAAATACTTCAAGAGTGTATTTCTATATAAACTAACGTAAATGAACTGTGTATTGACAACACAGCGACGCAATATTAGATAAGCCACTTGCTTCGACTAATAGTGTGCGTTTTGGAACTTAGCGAGGGAATTTGAAAAAAGACACTTTTTAATGATTAAATTTTGCCACTAAATCACTTCATATTTAAAAAAATCTTTGCAGGACTGTTTTTATAGTAATAAAGTATACTTAAAAAAAGTTTGGTACAATTTGGCGTCATATGCATATTGCCTATTGTAAAAGTGAAAATTTCAAGCACAAGCCATCATGGAAAATCGCCGATGAAAATAGATCTAAGCTGCGTTGTTACGTGCGTCAACACGCTGGTGCATAAGGCCAAACTTGCGATAGATGCCGCCCTATACGTGTGTGTCTTCTGAATTTTAAATCATGCACCTTTCTCCAAATCTAGGTTAAACCTTGTAAACAATTATTTTTAACTAGGTAAATGTGTTGTAGGACTAAAGGTATATCAAACATGAAACATAATTTTGAACTTAATTTCTTTTCTTGCTTTGCTGGGAACTATGCATGCACAACATACTTACATCTTCGCAAATATTTTTTAGTTTATGCAAGTAACTGAAGGCGGTGCGTAACCGATCTTTAATAGAGCTCTTGGTAATTAGAGCTTTAAGGTTCCTTGTATTAGTACTGATTGCTTCCTGTAATAGAGGACATTTATGAACACCATTATTATCATCATCAATTCGCTGTACATCCTTACTAAGAGACTTGGAGCCTATCCTATGTGAGAGGTGATATATGTAGTATATATTCGGTTAAATAAAAATATTGCTTTCCAACAATTCTACTAATCATCAAAACTATTTAATGTAATTTTCAAAAATATCCAACTACGCTATTATTACAAAAGATAGACGTATATAAATACTAATTCAAATAGTCATAAGTCAGTAATGTTATGTATTATAAAACTCACTATCTCGTGGAGGCACATCTTTTGTCTTTCGCGATCAAGTTTAGTATTGCCGAAGGGTTGAGCTCCGGTCATGTGTTGAACGTAGGACGCGCAATCCTTGCTGACACATTCCAGCGTGGACTTTAATCCCGCAATGCATGTATTGTTTAACCCATCCTCACTTTCTGTTGCCAATTGGGCATCAATAAGCCCTTCCTCCTGTGTTAAAAATTGTGTTATTAATGTGGACCAATTCAACTGTGCTAACGGAATGGCGTCACAGAGGCTTTAACATTGTTAATTGCAATGTTAATTTAATTAGTCGTTGTTCGTCGATTTTTAATTTGATCACCTCTATCGTAATAATCAACGTTGCTTCCCGGTGCGTGGGGCTACGAATGAACCTGGACAAGACGAAAGTCATGTTCAATGAGCAAATCGTACCAAGTCCAGTTACCATCGGAAATGCAGTCATTGAAGTGGTAAAAGACTATGTCTACCTCGGTCAGGTCATCCAGCTTGGACGGGGTAACTTCAACAAAGAGATCAAAAGACGCATACGACTAGGCTGGGCGGCATTTGGGAAATTCCGTTCCATCCTCACCTCCCAAATACCTCAATGCCTGAAGACGAAAGTCTTCAATCAATGCGTCCTCCCTGAAATGACGTACGATGCGGAGACCTGGACACTGAGGATGGGCCTAGCCTATAAGTTCAGAGTCGCACAGCGGGCGATGGAGAGAGCTATGCTCGGGGTTACTCTAAGGGATAAAATCCGGAATGGAGAAATTCGACGGAAAACCAAAGTTGACGACATAGCTCTCAAAATCGGTAGACTGAAGTGGCAATGGGCCGGTCACATTTGTCGGGCCAGCGACGCCAGGTGGGGGAGGATAGTCCTCGAATGGAGTCCGCGAAAGGGGACCAGTAGCGTAGGGCGACCTCCAACCAGGTGGACCGACGACTTAGTGCGCACGGCGGGAAGTCGTTGGTTGCGGATGCCGGAGGACCACATTCTGTGGAAGGCATTGGGAAAGGCCTATGTCCAGCAGTGGGCAGGTGAAGGCTGTTGATGATGATATCGTAATAATGTGCTAGTGAATATGTTGTGTCAGATACCCTCGATGTTAAAGGAAAATTAAACTGGTTATTTTTATGAAGACGTAAATTTTTCATTACTTACGCAAATTTTAAATTAGCCGTAACTTTTTTCTAGAAAAAGGAGAGTATTTACCATAGCTGTAGTTTTGTAGTGCTGTAGAGTATTGCGAAAAATGTTTTCCGAAAGATTCGACTAATATATCCGTGACTTCAATATTAACTTGTTAATGTACTTACGAATTTTTCTATTATCCTGGCAATCATGTTTGAATTATACATGCGGCGGCGGTGATCCGGCCAGATGCTGCGCACGTGCATGCAATGCTTGTTGTTCCAGTACGGCAAATAATAATATGTCTTATCTGTAGAGTCGGCCTTCATGGGCTGGGTCACACTTTGCCAGTAACCGGAATCGACGCATAAATCATCTATTATGAAAACAACATGTTATGTATTTATTTAATGTTTCAAGCATACAGTTGTAACCTATAGATATCTATTTCGGACTACATTAGTAAAACGTTCAAAGTGATGGAAAGGAAATGAGCTGGGGGTATTGAATCATATTTGTTACTTACCAAGGTGTTCCACATTCAAGTCCATGGATCTCTTCATCGACTCTTTGGAACCATCGAGCATGTTACCACAATTACCGATGCTAAGTTCGAATTGTAACGGCTTGTCGACGAGTGACTTATCAATCATATTGCAGTCAAATACAGTCCCGAACAGGAAAAATTCTTCGTTCTTTTCAAAAGAAATGTCCAGGATAGGTGTGATAGGCTCAACTTCAACGTCTGAAGCAGTTGATTCGATAATATCCATTACTTCAGTGCGAATGGATATCAAGACCCTAAAAATATTATTTTAATTATTTTAACGATTTTTAAAACAGTTAAACAATAACAATCAGTTATCAAAAGTATACTGCATAGCAACCTTGCTCTATAGGACACTCCTTCTCCCATGCCCTTATTCAAGTTGGCATTCTGGTCAATGATACTGTAATCTCGCGTGGAACCGTACATATAAACGTAGGCTGGCCCGAATGTTGGTAAGAAACCTGTAAAAATGGAAACGATTCTAGAAGGTTCAGAATATTACTGGAATCTACTAATTATGATAAAATATGATTCCAAATCTTTAGAAGACAACATTTCTTCATAGGTGTAAATTACCTCTTTCTCCGTCATTGGAAATAGTCTTGAGATCGATGTAGTGTGTGCCAATGATGTTGGGATGTACGGGATTGTTGTCCTTAAGCTGGATCTTGACGCGCTGACAAAGCGGCGGGAACATGTCGGTAAATACAATCTGCTCATTCCAACTCGGTGTGTAGGTGTTTTTCTTGACTGACGTGGAACCCTGTCACAAAGACATTATTTGAATATCAACAAGGCAATAAGTCTGTAAAGATTGATATTAGATTCAATTTAGGTTACAATATTTCGTGGTATTTATAAAAAAGTGGAAAATCCTGAATTTGAGATACTTACAGTCATTCCTGCAAAAGACACTTCCACGAACGAATCGACTAAGTCTTGGCTTTCTCCAGTAAACGCTCTTTTTACGTTGGCTAACAGAGAGTAGTTCATCTTAGGCAAGCCATCGGCCCTGTATATCTTGATAATAAATTTTGTTCGCTGCCGTTCTATGGAGACGCCATCAGGCAGCAGAAGATTCCTAAAATTAGTGTCATCACTTGTCACTCTAGAAGTCGATTATGATTAAGCAAGTTTCTGTGAAGGTTTACTCATCACGTCAGGAGTAAAGATATACCGATTAGTCGTGAATTCGTAGGATTTGCCACTTCTAAGTTTCTCAGTACTGTTTATTACTATTGACTTACGCTTCAATATCGTCTTCATCCTTGTCGGTGGTCGGTGGTATTTTGATGGTATCGCCTTTACCGATGACGCTTATATCGCACTTGAGGTATCCCTTCGGACCAGCAGCCACGTCATCAGGGTCAGTTAGCAGTGCCCATTTGTGGTAGAACTGGCGATCTAATAACAAATAAGTTGCATATCTTGAAACGATCGCTCAGCTTAACTAAAAAAAATCTTCACACGACAACTATCTTTCGATATGAAAATTAAAGTCCAAATTACTTTTAATTAAAACTGTAATAAGTAATTTAATTCTATATGCCACATTTTCTCGATGTACAGTAAACCATTATATGCAAATAGTAAGTCACAACCAACAGTGCTTTGTGAAACGGTAAATAAACACATGTTTTACTACAGATGTCACAGTAAACAATCATTAAATGATAATTTACGAGAAATAAAAAGAAACTCTGATGTTTTATAACACTTACAATGATTTACATAACATGTAAACTAGACTAATTTTGTTACCACTAGACTGTAATCACTATTTTGTGCGTTTTTTTTTATAATTAGTCTTAAAGGTGAATTAGATATGTATCAATGTTCTATGTATCAAATGCAGTGATGTCATGTTTGATTCAAATCGAACAAAAATGCACAAACATTTAAATGGAAATAGAAAAATAAATAAAATATCGCAAAGCGACGCCGCGTCAATATTGGCTTAGCGAAAATTTTAATGCAAATACGTGACACAGATTTTCATTTATTTATAAGTAATAAGGTAACAGAAATTTCGCTCAGCGTATAATATTGCGCAAAAGCGCTCTTTGCAAATACAGTAAGGAAATACAATAGTGAAGCATTATGCAAACATGAAAATGGGAATAGTACTGCTTAGGATGTAATTAAATGAAAAGCAAACTATTTATAGTGTATTGAAGTATACGACATGGTTTTCATTCATCAATTTGGCAAATGAAACAAATGTAAGTCTATTTGCTGAGAATGGTTTGAAACAATAAAGCGTTAATTGCGTCTACTATTCTATTGATTGAAGGTAGGAACCACAGTAAGGTTGCCATTTGCATATATGTATGGGCAACGGCCATTTCGCTACTTTAGCGAATTCGTGTGGCCCTTATTAGCATGCTACAATAAAATACTTTATCTGTTACAAAGAAGATAAGTAGGATAAGACAAAATTGCAAACTAAAACCAACTTACCGTAGTCTTAAAAGCGCGGTCATTATAATAGGACAAAAAACAGTAATGAAACATTCCTACAAACAAACAACTTGTAATTTCAGAAAGTTTCAGAAGTGCGAAGCAAGCTTTAGGCTTTTAACGAACTAGTTCAGCGTGCTGGAATTGTTTCGGCAAACATTCTGATATGGTCATTATGTGAATAGGAAGGTAACTACGCTGTTTGCTTCGCTTTCCGTCTTTAAGAAGCCTTAACTCTAGTCATATGTCAATGTAAAAGCATGAAATATTCGGATAGTGGTCAAGCGCTGGTATATACATGATGAAAAAAACGAAAACGATGGATCTTAAGATTGACCGATTACTTCAAAGATTTACCAACAAGATATAGCAATAGTCTGAGAAGTTTTTTTTTTCTAGCATTTACTTGATGGATCATAAGATGGTAGTTTAAATTCACAGTAAATGTCAATTAACATTCGATTATACTTTTGGGAAAAGAATTTAATATATTTTATGCATTTAATCAGTGAACGAATATATCAAATTGATTTTATAAAAACATATTATTTGGTCTTTAAGTTTAATGAGTATTTAAAGAAAAATAAATAAATAAACAAATATCACAAAACTTATCGGACTTCAGCTATAACTCGTTGGAAAAAAGATGGATTCATCTCTATGAGGGATTCCTTAACACTACGTCTATTCTAAACTAAGGCAAAACTTTTATACTTAGGTAGGAAGACGGGAATCGTTGTCAGTCCGCGGTCACGTTCTGAAATAGCGTGAAGGTAACGATAAAAGGTGCAAGGAGATAGACATCGAACAAGTAATAGAAATAATAGAACAATTAATGCCAACATGCAATAAAGTTTCACAACAATATATAAACATAGATCTAACATAGACTAAATACCGAAATAAATTACATACAGAAAAATACAGTGTTTAATAAAAGTTTGTGTGTCAAAATGTATAGCGGTTCTTATAGATGGCATTCTTATAAATTACTCTGTTGTAATATTATTTTACTCAAATTATTAATTAGTTAATTTGAAATTGTTTACAATTAGTAAATATTCAAATTTTACTCAATTTACTTGTTGGCAGCAGCGATAGTTTTCAATCATTTTGATTCAATTAGTAATTTTGTACGAACCAATTAAAAAGGACAATTTGAGCCAAATTTAAAGTAACAGGAACGATAGAATGTTTGAGGCTCAGTAGAATTAAGTTACATTAATAATGAGAACGTCAATTAAAGTAATTCTATTACGACTCAATAATTTTAACTCAAATTTGTGTTTTTTTTTAATGTTTCTGTTCTAACCATTATTACATTCAATGTACTGATTTAATTAAACCTAAGGTGGAAAACCAATTCCTCTCTGCGTTTGCTACACAGCTAACATATTTTCCCGAAAAGGGCCTGGAGCTATCTTAAATATTTTTATACACGTAAAAGGTTTTACAAACGGATAGAATGTGACTATAATCATGCAATAAAATTAATATTCCGCAAATAAATGTATCTTCGATATTTTATACTGTTGTAATGGAAATAACTGTGAAAAATGACTAAAGTACAAATGGACATTACTACAAAACATTTTTCTTAAGACATTCAAAAAATGAATTATGTTTTACAGATAATAGTCACTGGGTGTTTTTATTCTCTATAAAAATAATGATATTATTTAACTGATTCCTTTAATTCAAAAATGTAAATTAGGAAATATTACAATTTGTACAATGTAACAATAAATGCGCAAAATTAAGATTTAAATTTCGAGCCGTCCGGGGTTGTTCGAAAATGTGTTTTAATAGTATTAAGACAGGTGTTACGTTTGAACTCCACTCACAAATGGAATCAAGAAGGATTTGCCAGCAAACCCTTACAGTGCTTGCTTGGTTTCATTGTAGATACATTTGGTTCCATTTAAAAGCATCGACTATAACTAGGTCATAGAAGTTGGTAATAACTTAAGGTTTCAAAAGACAATTCCTATTTAAAGATCGACTTGAATTCTTTATAATATAAATTACTTATATGACGTTGATTTTAAAAAGTAACCTCTTGCTGTCAATAATGTGTTTACCTTTTTACGTAATGACATACCTGGTTGGTTCCACACGGTGGCAATGTCGAGTTTGAAGTTTCCGAGTAGTTTGTTCACACGCAGAAAGTTGCGCGAGTGTAGCACCTGCGAACAGGGATGTTGCATGTCACGCTAGCGTGTTCACTTCACTTCGCGCCGTCACGTAAAACATCGTATAGCCAACATTTTTTTCAGCTAGCTTAAGTGGCAAATCGGTACACTGTTATTATACTATTGAACGAATGCCTGCTGCCAGCAATTTTCATATTCTAATAAATTGTTTGTCAACCTGCACACAGCCAGTTTAGTTGACTAAGACCTAGTCACCATAAGGGGTAAGGTCCGTGTCCCTCGGTGGAGACAAGTTATTAATTCATGGGATACAGAATATCACCAAATTGAATAGACATAGCTTTGGAATTTTTAATTAATTTAGGCATTGAAAAGCTTCGTAATTACTACCAATGACTTATTCATTACATTCATTGATAACGAAGTATAGAGAAGAAAGTATAAAGAAAGGTTATAATAACATAACGTATCCATTTATTCTTTATAACTTATCATTTATTTATCTCCGTATAAAATGTAAATAGCAAAACTAATTGCGAATTAATCCAATGTGTTTAAAATAAGTTCGTTCAGTATATAAATTGCGCATCCGACCCGAAAGTAAATCTGGACAGTTTGCAAACTAATATCGCTGTTGGTCCATGTTTTATTAAAATGTTGCACTCCGCGCGTTGTTTGTGTTACTTTGCATACAGTTGAGCGATTTTGTATTGAATCGCACATTGACAAACAAAATACCTGCGCTAGTAACAAAGGATATCGGAAAGTAAACATTAGACCTGATACGAAATTATTACGTCTGAAAATTCGCACGTTTGTCAAGTTTCTAAGAAAAATTACGCAATAACGTCCGTTCCGACGTTATGTAGTGTAATGTAGTGGTCAATCGGCCATCGTGAAATAAACCACACAAATTGCCTTGGGTCTAGACAAGAACTTAGGATTCTAGAATTTTCGAAGATAATAGAGTTAATGATGCTGGACGTAAGAGATATTTTTTTTTCATGTAATATTAAATTGCAAGTTAACAAATGTTATTAGATATAGAAAACATAAAACAAAAATAAACGTAAAGAAAAAGTTAAGTATTGACCTCCTAGACTGTCTAAGTGATTAGTCTGTGGCAAAGGAAAATTAATAACTTATTTCTCACAAGAAAAAGCGTTCTTTTTCTTTTGTTCATCGGACGCTTCTTAGAAACTAATCAATTTTCTTACGTGTACTAAGAGACGAGAAAAAGTAAACATAGACGCAGCAAGGAAGTCTTAGCTTAGTTTAGTCTATTTTGAACTTTGTTTTTACTTAAAAGATCCACCGGATATTTATTATACTTTATTGGAAACGGTGCAGAGCAACTGGAATATTTTTACGATGAATAAACAAGCGCTTAATTACGATATAGTAACGTGGCCGAAATATGATATGCGGTTAGTTTAGTAAATATCCGCTCTAATGTTAAAAGCCTCCACTTCGTATTTCGACGGAAAAATTGACGCTGGCCGTATAAATTTTTTGAACGGAAACAACGTCGTAATTGGCCAGTATCATAGAACAACAATTGAGTTATTGAAGATAAAAGCTCAGATTCATAAATGTATTTGTGCGCACTCTGCACAAAGTGCTCCGGTTTAAAAACTGTAATCGACCCCTTCTATGTAGGTTTTAACCGTCCCTAGCACGTACGTGATTTTTCCATTCCATTTGCATATACGTTGGTATCACTAGAACTGATGATATTAAACTATGCCGTACGAAGATAAGCTATGTCAAATTAGTTAGGTAGTTAAATAACAACAATTTATATTTTTCACTTAAAAATCAGAATAGAATTCAGGATACTAATCGAATCATACTAAACTTTAACATCGGCTTAGTTTTATATTTCATACATAAAAACTTACATTCCCACGGATAATACTTTTCTCTATAGTCAATCAGTGTAATGCGAATAGGTAGAAACATGACTAGCGAACGCATTAGTTTTCGTATTATTCCCAACCACTACACCGCTCTGTCCCCACGTGAGACTAAAAACCTTTCATCCGTCCCATCTTTTAGTGCCACTATTATCAATGTGACAGGTGGAACCGTTATGAATTAAAATAAGTTCCAACCGCCCCCTCGTCGCAAAAGTTGGGATGGATGAAGCTTTTTATTCTCATCTATCTTCACGTGGGGACAGAGCGGGGTGACGGTTTGGAATAATCCTGGTTTTCATGCATCTATGCAGAATTACAATGCGGCAGTATAATTCGTTTTATAAAATAACATCAACAGATTAGTCAACCTGAACTCTATTATATCAATTTGTATTATAATATGATAAATATTATATTAGGAAACAAGCTTATTGTGATCGTGATATTCTATTCATTCAATTGTTCTGACGCAATACGCACTATAATAGAGCTGCGGCAATAAGCGGCTTAATGTGCACGTTACAATACGGTGTTATTTTTCCGGTATGAGGGAATATGAAATGGAATAAATGACGATAATAAATAAAATAAATTCTTGTTTTTGCACAATACTGCAACATTTTAATGTGTTTTTTTAAAACCTCAGCTAAACGATATACAAAATAAAAGTAACATTTGGTAAGAGACATTGCAATCAAAGTGAATTTTTGTGTGTCATCAAAATCCTATGTTTATGATGATACCCAATAATGTATCTATATTAATTAATATTTGGAAATCCATTAAAAAACTATATCTGTATGTATTGAAATAGCTCAAAAACTACTAGGCCGTTTTCAAAAATTCTTTCACCATTAGAAAGCAACATTATTACTGCGTAACGTAGGCTTAATCTTAAAAAAAAATTATTCCGCGCATACGAAGTCGTGAGCAAAAGCTAGTAAGTTATACGAGAGTTATTATTTATCTGTGCTCCTATAACTTATTTCGTAAATATCTCGTCGCGCTGAAAGCACAAATTACGTTTGAAAAATTATATTGCTAACGTAAGTTATGATTTACATTAACCTCGAAATGTCCTTGTCCGAAATAGGACAGAATATTAAGTACCATTACTGTTATAAATGTGGCAGTGTTACTGAAGCCAGCAGGTTCTAGAAATTAAAAATAACATTAAACTAGGGTTTTGCACACTCTAGCTATTCCATACATTTACATGTAAGTGTAATTGTTATTTTTTTTAATACTGATTTCTGACGTTAAAGCAATTAATGCAAAATTATTCTCTGCTAGTACGGGGTTTAAAAAAATACTGAACCAATTTGTCCAATTGAAAAGATCTATTAGAGAGATATTGCGATAACATTGTTATATTAGTTATCTGTGGCGATTGGATATCTAAGATCAGTTTATTGTTTATATTAATGTGTCATGATGAGGGGTACACCGCGAAAGAGATGGATGGATTGGATGAAAGGTGACATGATCAAGAAGAGAGTGATGAGTGAGATGACGGATGATAGAGTTATTTGGATGACGAAAACTTGGAGCCCCGACCCTACTAGAGTTCCTAATCTTTTTATTTAAATTATCCTTAATGTAGGGGGAGATGATGAGTTAATGATGATTAAAATTTGCAATTTTTACGATTCTTCTTGAGATCCCTCATTGACTAGCTGAGTTTGCGTTTTATTCTTTATATTTGACTATGTCAAACAGTCGAAAGGCACACGAAATTACTGTCAACTCTCAGAAGTTGCGATAGCTTATTTAAATCGCGTGTGATTATTGAGATTACAAAAAATTGTACAATTTTACTCTCATGTCATTGCTAATATGATGCATGATATGAGAAGCAATTTATGTTGAGAATTCCTTAAAACGTCTAAAAGGAAAAACATGTTGACTTTATGGCTCAAGAATATGTCAATTACCGTAAATTATTTTAAGACTGTCTGAGTTAATTTCTGAAAATACGCTATATTTTTTCGCAATAAAATCATAAGTAGGGGAGAATCACTTTCCCTTTATCTTATACGAGTAGTAAAAGAGGAACATGTAAGTCATTCAAGCAAGTGGGATATTTTATTTAAGTATCTTCAGTACGAATGAGTGATGGTGTGTTTTTGTACGAATATTTTGACAGCTGCGGTATCCCTCGGTACGATTTATAAAATCATGTTCGTATCATCCACAGATCGTTATGTGTGTTTTGTTCATAGAAGTCTTTTTCGATTATAAAAGTTTTGCCATCTTTCATATGTTGCAAATTATATTAGTGTTCTAAATATTTTTCTAAAATTACTTAGGTACTCTGATTATATTACGTAGATACATTATGTAGACACCGACTTAGTACGATCTTTATATATCTGTAGTCGCCTAGGTAGATATCGAATGTCGAGTAACTTTCTAGAGTGAAATTGATACATTTAAATTTCAAAGCCGATACCTTTGTTTGGATCAAATTAATACACGTGGCTTCAATAATCATTAATAATTTAAGCATTGTGCTGCTTGTATTGTCCACCATTGACGAAGGTATTTTCACTTAACACGTTCACTGCGTAACAGGCCGATATCGGCCTGCCGCGGTACTTAGGCTGGTGCGGACGAAGAAAACTGTCTCCCTTTCGCTAATACGAAACGATTATCTCAGTTGTCATTACATTACCGTTTTCCCAATTATTATAGCAATTTAATCTATACTAGTACTGGTGGATCTAGAAAGACCTGCCACGCACTGGAGGAAATATAATTGGGAGCGCATTTGTTTTTAAAACAATTTTAGATAAATAGCGAAGCAACTCCGGTTTCTGATTTCTTTTAATTCAGAATATCCAGTTATAAATTCAAATACTAGAAGTAAAACCAAACTAATTATAAATCTCACTTACGAGAATACATTGGAAATTCCAACTTCATATAACAATGGAAACAAACTCATCCCTTTTCGAGATGATTAATTAGTTTTAACATTTTTGATAAAGGGTTAAGGTGTACTCCATAATAGACGAGATCAATTAGTGATGGATTTTAATATTAAATAGTGAACGCAAATTAATAAAACATGAACCTGGACTTTGACGGGCTTCGAGGGAAAAAACGTTAGCCGATTTCCGTTTGATTCGACTTTACAAATGGAATACGTAATGATTTAGAATTTTTAGATTGAAAAAGTATTTGGTATATTTTCAAAGTTGTTATTTTATATTCAAAATGCAATTACAATAGTAATGTAGTTCTTAGTTAATTTTAATCGGTGGAATTCATGAAAGTGAAAAATATTAATTTGAATTAATTAAATTACCCAAATTAAGTTAAATTAAAACAGCCTAATAAGTATACTGAGAAAGGAAACAAAATAAACATTTTAGATACTAAGCCTAAATGTACTAAAACGATAAAAAAAAACAATTTATCTGGCTTATGCTGGGTTGCTGAGGTTTTCATTTATTTTATGATTACCTAGAGATTCATTAGTGTTAGGTTAAAGTAAATTTCAAAGGGGTAAAACTCAAGTTATCTAGTTCGGAAACGCATTTCAAGAATTTAACGAATCAAAAACACTAACGAATGGTTAAACGTTTCTGGTAAATCGGCCATTAATGAAATGATGTTGGATACGTGACAAAAAAATCCCTAATAATTATTTACCCCGATTAGTAAAAATACTCGATGTAAATGTAATTTAAAAAAAATATGTTTTTAAAATATACAGTATTGCAAACCCTTTTTGAAGTCGGTTAAAATATACAGGAGTATGTAATATTGAATTTATGTTTTCTTTACGTGAGTACACTTTTGCATTAATTCAAGAAACAAAGATGAATTATGGGAACGAACGCTCCCGGATTTCAGATTGTGAAATGAATAAGTCATACACTCTCGTATACCGCTAGAAAGCTGTTACTAAATCATTTAGAGACGGCCTTAAGCGAGACGTAAATTGCGACAAATAAAGTCAAATCTATATAAATGTTCTTATTTTTATCTTTACGTGAATTAAAACAATTTTGAATTTGTATCAACAATTATTTCTTAATCGTAATTTTAATTTTCTATGACCGCTGACTGCATTTAAAAAACATTTGGACGTAGCACAATATTTGATGTTCTATTTATTTTGGAGTAAATCCTGTTTTATTATACATTTATTTCGCGCGTATTACACGTGGTGATTTTATTGCTAGCAGCAGTGATTTATATAATTGTTGCTTTGCGGCTGTAGTGAATAGAGCTTTGCATGTGATCGCTTCACTTTACGCTTCATTAATAAACTATCACTTACCGATAGGGTGATGATCTTGTCAAACAGCATCACAGGTGGCATGTGGAAGTCGAACACGAAGTACTGTGAACAATTCATATAGTTAATCTTACTGATATCGTAAATGCGAAAGTTTAGCTTGATGTGTGTTGAAGTTTGTAGGCTTAACGACATAGCGGATCTGGATGAAATTTGTCGTATATGTAGAGCATAGACTGAAAGAACACATAGGCTACTTAGTTTGTTTTTTTATTTATTTAGACGGAGTCGCCGGCGAAAGCTAGTATCTAATACATTTAACCTAACTTTGAGCTTCTCGATATCCTAACTATGAGTTGAAAATGACAAAACTATATTTACACTAAAATCAGTTCCTTCCTTGTATTCTTGTATTTTTATACCTTGTCCATATTTCAAAGTAAATAAATAAAATGTAAGACCTATATCAAATCCAAGGGCTTAAAGTGAATGAATTATTAAATTTTCGAGTTGCTGTTATACCTATTAGAAGCTGACAAGGGATTGACCTTTCTGGCAACTTGCACTCATATTAAATGCAACATTATATGACGTGTACTGTAGTACCACAAACTCAACACATTATTTATTATTCATGATACCAGTCGAATGAGTGAATAAGTATTTTCTAATATGCCTAAGTAATATAAAGTTGTTGAAATTAAAGGGCGTATTAAATTAACATTCCGTTTTGCATTGTAAACGAAACCTATTATAAAGCCTTTAGAAGAGCTGAATTTCGAATAAAGCAAACAGACTCGCCGAATTAAATTCCAGAGTCCATTTTCCGCATTCCAAATCGTTAGTTTCCTTTTGTTTGCAGTACGTTATTAAAATCGCAAAGGTTTTTATTACATTATTTCTATGAACAGACTCATGGACAAGGGCTATGTCTCTCGGTATTTCATGTTGCATCGTGCATTGATATTTTCATTGTTGTTGTTCAATAAAAAAAATGCTTCCTCTCGGAAATTAATGATGCTTGAATACGAAGTGTACTGTTATCGAAAAAGAAAACAAGACGATTGTCTTTTTTGTTAATTTTGAATTCCAAATTTGAACAAAAAAAAAACAACATTTTGTGTCAGCCATTATTGTGATTACATTTATTATGTCGGTTACGTTCAAGTCCATATCCACATTACTGTTAATTTAAAGAACATTAATGAGCTAGTTGGTTAAATCACAGACAACGATGTATTGAATAAACCAATAAGTAATCTAAATATTTAATGAAACCTCACCTCGTTGTAGTAAGGACAATTGGTGCTCTCCTTCACGCTTGTGTATTTGCGCGTGTCACCAATTTGAACGCAGACCACTGGGTCCATGTTAAGGCCGGCTAACTGTCGTGCCTCCACCACAGTGACGCATACTTGGAAATCAGCCGCTTTCAGAGCCGCGGGCCCGGTGATGTCAAGGGCCTGGCACCTAAGAAATAATTACCTTTTTAATAAGAGATACATTTTGTGGGTATACACGATATAGCTTTCTTAATTGCGAGCTAAGAATTTTATATGTAAAGAACATTTAAACAAAAAAATTAAAACAGTAAATGTAAGTATTCTATTTTTTATGGTACTGGTATGGATGTAAATTACGCTGATGTCAACTATATTTTCGATGACATGTTATTTTACTAAAGATTTTAGTAATGTTTGCATTATAAAGAAATGAAAAACAAAAATCATTTAAATTATTACAATCGCCTCCTCCTCGGTGTGTCCAAGTAAGTGGAAGGTTCGCCGCTCATTTCATCAGACGACGTATCGCTTTCAAGTTCGACTAGATCCATAGAAGATGATGATCCCGGCATCACATCAAGCAGTCCCTGTTCTTCGTCGCTCCTGCGTGGGCCACGATTACGCGCCAGTCGTAGAATAGATCTTATACTTCTTAAGGTGGATATGCGTTTGCGTGGTCCACGACCTTCGGCAATGTTGACGACTTTGTCCGAACCCAAAGAAAGTCCTTTTCTGAGTAAGTAAAAAAAGAATCAAGTTACTAACTTAATTACGAACATAAACAGATTTTGACGCTCGAAACGTAACGTAATTAGTTAATTTGACTGGATAAATTAATTACGATCAAAGGTCGCCCAATGTTTGAAATTGGACCATAATTCATAATTAAAGAATGTTCTCTTTGTTTTGATATCCAATCAAATCAAAGAGAATATAATCACTAAAGCCTTTATGCCTGGTATACGAATACTTAGTAATTATTTGCTATCTTACCAGTTCATTTTTTTTAAGAAATAAAACACAGTCCCCACACAAATGTTTAGCTCCAGGCAGCTTGCCTATTGTTCATGGTTAATTTGTGCGTGTTTAACTAATGTTATACCCTCAACTCACAGAAAACCTATTTTCTTTTTTCCGATAAACATAATTATTAGTGCAATTTAAGGAAACAGTCATATGAAATATGAATACCTAAACAACGATAGTAATGTAGAAAGGCCAATAATCGATAATTTGCCCATTCGCAAGCTAAGTCACAACCATAATTGATAAATGATATCTTAATTATCAACTAATAAACTGGTACCGCTGCATAGGTTATGATAAGTTATACTTACTTGAGGATGCATTTTCCCGCGATCTTGAGTTTGTGAGAACGCGACTCCTCTTCTGCTTGTTCCCTTTTAAAAATCGCCTCTTTTTTCCACATGGACTGCTCAAAACTAGCGATGGTACGTTCTACGTCTTCTAACGTCATGTCCAAGTCTTCCTCAACATCAGATGCTGCAGTCGAGCTTTGGGATGAGGCGGGCCCAGAGCTAGGAATCGTACTCAGACCGTATCGTCCTCCGCCATGACGGTTTAGTCCCGAACCAG